ATAAACTAATAATAAGATATTGGTTATACCTACTGTTACAGTTAGGTACACTATAGTACTATACAGTAAATTCTCGATTATCTGTAGTAGTAACTATCTACAGTAGGTATCTACCAAAAATAGTGCTACATATCATGTACAATATGTAGATTGTAAGTACATATATGTATTTGTGAAAAAATAAATGCAAGTGTTAGGTATAGGTATAATATATTACATTAATGTTTAAATAAAAATACCACATAACTTCATCTAATTTTCTTTAAAGGCTATTTAATATTACATAGGATATATAGAATTTTTTTTAAAAATATAATAAAATCATTTTTTTTTTTTGCATTTTTTTCGGATTAACCGCGGAATCCGGTTATCCGTGTTGGCTGTGCCTCCCTTTTTCGTGGATAATCAAGAGTTGACTACCCAATAATATAGACTGGCACTTTGGCAGTCCGTCTCCGGATCTCCGCTCAGAATCGTTTTTCGTATGCAATAATTTCAAATTTAACAATATATCCATTACCTATAGCAGCCTTTGACGGATCCAGGGCCTAATTTTTTTTAATAAGACACGTGGTAATGTTTCGTGTGCACTGCAGTTTTATATATTATTATGACTACCAGACCACGTATTATATTTATTATTATTTTATTAAAATTATAATGTAACAGTGGCCCAATTACCTTACACCTATTGGAAAAAGCACGGGCTTTGGGGGTTTTTACGGGGATTTTTATTTCGTAATTCCTATTAGAGTTACTAAGTTATAACCAATAAATATGTATTTATAAACGTGTTTACACTTCCACGTGGCTTCAGTCAAAAGTTAACATATTTTATTATATTAAAAATGTTGATGCATTACCTCCAATAATATTAAACAAAGATATTAAAAGATATATAAATATATTTAGTATAAATCAAATTTCTATGTCTTAAATGGGTGCCAAAGTTATTGTGATTTTCACACACCATTTTTAAAAATTAAAAACAACAATGAAGTATTAACAATGAAGTATTAACAATATTTGTATTTTTTTCTAGAGAGTGGGTACCCGCAGAAAAGAAATGTTATTAGAATTGTACAAAAACAAAACTCAAAATGAACCCAACCTCAAACCCTCAAAATTAATGAGAGTATTATCACAAGACACTGGCATTGGCTATACAACAATTAAAGATACTGTGCAAAAATATTTATTTGAACAAGGAATAACACAAAAAAAAATTGCACGAAAGCTGTATGAAAATATTGGCACATCCGAAAAATGTAAAATTCTACAAAAAATTCATAGTTTTTGGTGTAGACATAAAATACCAACTTTAAAAAATATATCATTCGCCATCAACGCTGATCTCGGTCTTCCATCACTAAGTGTTTGTGAATTAAAAAAAGTATTAAAAGACCTACATTTTGAATATACGCCATGCAATTACCGTTTGCGTGCGCTAACGGAAAAAGAAAATATTGTCCTATGGCGTCGAAAATATTTAGAAGATATACGGCATTACCGAAATGAAGGTAGAACTATTTACTATTTGCAAGAGACGTGGATAAACGCTGAAGAATATTCAACCAAAGACTTATGGGCCGATAAAGAACCTTCAGGCGAAGGCAAACGGATAATTGTCGTGCATATTGGATCGGTCGAAGGTTTCGTGGGGGGTGGTCTGCTATGCTTTGAGTCGAAAACAAATACGTCTAACTATGATGACCATATGAATGGTGATATATTTTATGAATGGTTCTGTGGTATATTGCCTTTACTCAGGGAGAACTCTGTTATAGTTTTTGACAACGCGTCATACTATTCGGTAGAAAATCACGTACCCACAATGTCCTGGAAAAAGGATTCTATTTTAAAATGGTTTGAAGGTAAAGGCATAGTATTGGATAGGCCAATGGTGAAGTTTCAATTAATTGAAAAAGTGAAGAATACAAGACTTATCTATGACAACTATAGAAGAAGTGTACAAGAAGCAATAAATCATAATATAGATGTTCTACGTTTACCTCCGTACCACTGTCATTTAAGTCCAATGCAGTTAGCATGGGAAGTTGTAGCCAGACATGAGAAAATTAACAAATGTTCAAGTTCTAAGCTGGACGATGTACGTCAACTATTAAATGATGGTGTTAATCTAGTTACGACTGAGATGTGGGCCGAATACGTAAATTTTTCAATTACGAATGAAGAGATACTTTGGAACCTTGATATCATTACCGATAAGATAATGGATGAAACCGTAACTGCAAAAATAAATTTAGTTACGTCTTCCGAATCATCATCAGATTGAAATTGTAACTAACCATTTATGTTGATCACATAACTACTTATAGAATCACAATATTTGTTATTTTTTTTATATGTAGATAGGTAAGTTTATTACCTATTTTATACTTTGTTTTTTTTGTTTGCACTTTTATGTCTGCATTTTTTGCAGTATGCATTAATTCTTAGAATAGTTATGTATATTGTAATAGGTATCTATAATCATTTCAACCATTAGGTTAAAAGATAAATGTATAGTAATATAGTATAGTAAGTAGTACTTAGTATTATAGTAGTATTTGAAGTTTATTAATACTTAAATTAGTTATAACTTAAGTTATGTATTTATTTCAGCATTCGTAGCAATATTGATATATTATTTTTTATGTACATACTTAAAACCTATATCTTTATTACATTTCTAGAAATAAATTAAAGCTCATTTGGAAAAATACTTTTCATTTTACATCAAAAAAATTTAATTTAAATGGAAAGTTTGACAAAAGTCGGAAAACCAATATAATTATATGTCCACAAAAAGCGTGCCCACCCCTTTGGAGAATTCTTGAATCCGCCCCTGGCAGGCACATTATAAATTACCTAGTGAATTAAATTAAAATATTTTGATGGTCCAGTTGTCTGTAACCTGCAAACTTTAACCTGCAGTCCACCTGCTGTTGCCGACGTCAGTGCTATTATGTAGGTAATAATGGTGTTATATATAATAGTACCATGCCATCATACCATCTTACCTGGTAAATATATCGGCTGATGTATTTCAGCTAATGTTACACTTTGATACTCTTTGACTATTTGTGATTTAATAATATCATTATAAATGTGGGGGGGCTTGAGAGGATTAAGCCCCCCAGAATTTCAAAGTACAGGTCTTGGCCCCCCTGCTCATCAAAACTCTAAAGTGACTAAATACACAATAATTGTTATAATTGTAAAATGCATTTTTAATAACTGAATTAAAAATTAAATTATAAAAAAACATTCTGTGATAAAAATTAAATTAAATTCGTAAGATTTTACAAACTTATCATCATAACTTGAAACAATTCTTAATTTACTAATGTAATATTAATAATAATTAATAATACCCGCATAGGTTGATTATCAGAAATCACGCCGAGCGTGGTCCAGGTTTCGATGAAATTACATATAAAAAATAATATGATAGTTTTCACTAATTATGAAGGTTTTTTCTATCAATATCACCAAATTCGGTACACGCCATAATCGAAAAATTTTAAGTATTTTTGTTTTTCGCCACATATCGCATTGAGTAGGTATTTGATTACCTTTACAAGTGATACACATTTTTTAATAAATAAATTATTATATGTCTGAAAAATTATTTGATATTTTTAATGTTATAAATTATAATAATATAATGAATATTTTTATAGCTTCACATTTTTTTTATATCTTAAAATAGTTTTTTGTCAAACTAAATTTTAATTAATATCTATTTTCTACACAGACACTTAGTACTTACACAGTAAACTTATTTTAAATAGCCAATAGGTAGGTTATTTATTACTATAAAATTAATATTGGTTGGTCATTATTTCTCTTGAGCGAAGCTAGTGGTTTAGTAAAATGGGGGTAAGTATGTTACTGATACATTTTGTACGAGTCACCTCCTATGGATTTTACGAATTAATTTGAACCCTTAAATCCACCATTTTTTATAATTAAATTAAATTAATAACTTAATAATTTCTGTTTAGAATACTTCTAAAATGTTAAAGATAAGGAGCATATTTTTTTTGTACTTTATTATGGTCAAATTGTTTAGTACCTATGTCAAACTTTGTAAATTGTCTCGTTGAAATAAATAATGGCAAGCGGCTATAGTACAGTGGTACCTATAGGTGTAATGAGCATATTATAATGCTAAGCCCCCCCCCAGTAATTTCACCAAATTTCCGCTTATGCAATTGTGAGAAGACACTGTACAGTGTACACTGCATAAAGCATGTTAATATTTAATATGCAGTACTTATTTTAACTGTTTTTCAATATTAATTTTTTTTTGATTATTTTAATAATTTTTAAATATAAAATGAACTATGTTATTAAGATCCGTCAAGAACTAATTTTGTCAATAAAAATCGACAAGGAAAGTTAAAAATATTTTGAATATTATTAAGTATACCTATATAATACAACTTACCAGGTATATTATATTTGGAAAGGCTTTTGTGAGGTACGCACTTAGGGTTTATAATCAGGGGGTTGGGGCTTGGGAGTTGGGAGTGAATTTTACTGATCTTATTGTTATGAAACCTCAGGTGTCAACAATTTTTGAAATTTTACTTTTGACCTTCAAAGTACTAGCCAGTTCCAATTTTTTATCATAAATTCATAAGGCTTCAATGTTGAACATTTTTGTTTAGCTCGAATGCGTGATAACTATTGTAAATTATTGTTGTCATAATAACGTGTATATTTTTTGTTGAAACTTAGTATATCAAGGTGTCCGGTATGTGAGATATGCTCAGCGACTATCTTGTGTGCCTATAATATTTTTGATGATAAGCGCTTAGGTCAGTAGTAATACGGACGGCGTAGCGAACATATCGCACTCTCGGCACAACGGGCGTTTTTATAATTTTATGTAATATATTGATAATTAATATTTAATGTGAACCAGCCAAATAGAAATAAAGTAAAATTGTTCATTGGTTCAAAATAATTTTTTTCATTGTACGTATAACATGAACTATCAGAATAAAGACCCATCAAGAATTTATGTGGTCAATAAAAATCGGCAAAGAAAGGTAAGAATATTTTGAATATTATTAAGTATACCTATACAACTTACCTAGGTACATGTTATTTGGAACAGCTTTAGTGAGGCACACTCTAGTCAGGGGTTTGGGACTTTGGAGTGAATTTTACTGAGTTTTTAAAAAAAAATCTGTTGATTTTATACTTTATATTTAATATTATAATTTATATTTATTAGGACCTATATGCTTCGAGGCATAATAACTTATAAGCAAAATAGACAACATTATGTATTTAAAGCACAGAAATGACGGGAGCGGGTCATGTTTTCGAAAGTCATATTTCAGAATGTTAAGTGTAGAATAGTAGTTATTTTTTCGAATAGTAATGTAATCGAAAAATTATTTGTTCAATAGAAATGTGTTCGAAAAGAAGTATGTACGAAAATTATTTATTTAAGTTAAATAGCTATCTAATATTTTAAAAATTAATAAAAATAATATTTGTAAAATATATGCACTCATCAATTATTAATTAAAATCTTAAATTATATGTAATCGTTTTTAAAAATTCTAATTTACAATAATTAGGATTGTCGTTTATTCGTTGTTGAATTGAGTGCAATCTGAGATTGCGTTCCACACCATATTTCTTATTCTTTATTTGATGACCAGATATCAACATTAAAATCTGTGATTCTATTTCAGCTTGAATTGTATGCACGATTGTGATAAATCTGTGGAGCCCTGAATAAAATATATTATATAACATATTTATAAAATATAATATATTAATGACATTTGTAATATGATTTTTACCTGGATGAGGAAATGTAAGTAGATTTAACTTTCTATGCCACGATTCAGCTGTCTTAGTTGTTCTCTAAAGTTCTAACCTAAAATGATTCGAAGCTGACCAAATATCTGGTGAAAATAATGGAGGATTTCTTGAAGGCACATTGTTAGACCCATAGTGTAAGAAATAAGAAGTATGATCAACTCGAATCGTGTTTTCGTCCTAGTTCGAGCATGTGCATCGCCTTGTGTTTTTGTGCATACTGCATTGAATATGATTAAATATATACTCGTGACGTCGCCTTGTGTTTATTGTTGGTTTCCAATACAAATTATACATTGCCCCTTAAAAAAATATGCTCAGTCTTATCATTTAGCATACTTCTTATTCCTTATACTATGGTTAGACCTACCTCTTGTTCTCATACCGATTTTTCTAAGTACGTGAGTTTCTTCAGAGTATGTTATTATACTTATTATACTTTTGTCTTCGTTGTTATTATTGAACAAAGGTTTTAAATGCTTCTTGAACTTAAAACCAAAATAATTATAAAAACATTATAGTTAAATTATTAATTTTAATTATCTAATGGGTAATACCGTGGTAAATGGGCATTCTCCCCCATTTTTTTTCAACGTAAATTATTGACTAATAATATTGAATTTAAAAATATAATATTATTAATTATTTAATATGAAATTGTTTTTTTTTTTAAATAAAATATAAAATATATAATATAGTTTTATTTTCATAAATATAATAGACTATAAATGTATCTGTTTGATTAACTGAACTACTTACTTGAAACGATAAAAAAAAAAAAAATAAGTAGGTATAAAGTAAAATATAATTAATAATTAATAAAAATGGTTAAAAATTCCGACATAAAAATTATACATTTTGTAAAAAACATTTGAATTCTGATTCTTTTGTTATTTCTTAACTTATATTTTTTAGCCTTTGTTCATATTTATTTTTATTTTTTTGTTAAAACTGTACCAGTTTGAATATTTAACTATTTAATAATTGTTTGTTAATTTTATTCAAGTAGTTCAGTTGATCAAAAATATACATCTATAATATACCTATTATATTTATGAAAATATTAGGCAATAGGCATAAACTAATTTAATATTAAATAAAAAACTTAAAAAAAAAAAAATGGGGGGATAATGTCCGCATCTGAAATTTGATTATCCATGGTGGCTATATGCCACCCTTTTTCATGGATAATCAAGAGTTGACTACCCAATGATATTCTTCGGATCTCTGATCAAAATCGTTTTTCGTATGCAATCATTTATTATTGAGTTCAAATTTAACAATACCTATATCCATTACAGCAGCCAGTGGAGGCACCAGGGCTTAATTTTAATTTTTTTTTTTTTAAATGTAATAGTGGCCCAATTACCTTATACCTTTTTGAAAAAGCCTGAATGGGTATTTTACGGGGATTTTTATTTCGTAATTCCTATTCGAATTACTAAGTAATAACTAATAAATACCTATGTATTTATAAATATTTTTACACTTCCACTTAGCTTCAATCAAAAATTAAGATATTTTATTATATTGAAAATATTGATGCATTAGCACCAATAATATTAAAGAAAGATAAATATATTTAGTATGAAAACAAATTTCTATGTCTTAAAGGGGTGCCAAAGATATTGTGATTTTCAAACGCATCATTTTTAAAAATTAAAAACAACAATGAAGTATTAACAATATTTGTATTTTTTTCTAGAAAGCGGGTACCCACAGAAAGGAATTATTGATAGAATTGTACAAATACAAAAGTCAAAATCAACCTGACGTCAAACTCACAAAATTAATGCGACAATTATCACAAGACACTGGTATTGGCTATAGAACAGTTAAAAATAATGTGCTGGAATATTTATGTGAACAAGGAATAACACAAAAAAGAATTGCACGAACGTTCTGTGAAAAAATTGGCACATCCGATAAATGTAAAATTCTCCAAAAAATTCATAGTTTTTGGTTTAGACATAAAATACCAACTTTAAAAAATATAACATTCGCCATCAACGCTGATCTCGGTCTCCCATCACTAAGTGCTTGTGAATTAAAAAAAGTATTGAAAGATCTACATTTTGAATATACGCCATGCAATTACAATTACCGTTTGCGTGCTCTTACAGAAAAAGAAGAAATTGTTCTATGGCGTCGAAAATATTTAGAAGATATACGGCATTACCGAAATGAAGGTAGAACTATTTATTATTTGCAAGAGACGTGGATAAACGCTGAAGAATATTCATCCAAAGACTTATGGGCCGATAAAGAACCTTCAGGGGAAGGCAAACGTATAATTGTCTTGCATATTGGATCGGTCGAAGGTTTCGTGGAGGGAGGTCTGCTATGCTTTGAATCGAAAACAAATACGGCTAACTACCATGACCATATGAATGGTGACATATTTTACGAATGGTTCTGTGGTATATTGCCTTTATTAAAGGAGAACTCCGTTATAGTGTTTGACAACGCGTCATACTATTCGGTAGCAAATCACGTACCCACCATGTCCTGGAAAAAAGATTCTATTTTAAAATGGTTTGAAAGTAAAGGCATAGTATTGGATAGGCCAATGGTGAAGTTTCAATTAATTGAAAAAGTGAAGAATACAAGACTTATCTATGACAACTATAGAAGAAGTGTACAAGAATCAATAAATCATAATAAAGATGTTCTACGTCTACCTCCATACCACTGTCATTTAAGTCCAATGCAGTTAGCATGGGAAGTTGTGGCCAGACATGTGGAAATTAAAAACTGCACAAGTTCTAAGCTGGAAGATGTACGTCAACTATTTAATGATGGTGTTAAACTATTATCAACCGAGATGTGGGCTGGTTACGTAAATTCCTCAATTATGCATGAAAACATACTTTGGAACCTTGATATCATTACCGATAAGATATTGGATGAAACCGTAACTGCAAAAATAAATTTAGTTACGTCTTCCGAATCATCATCAGATTGAAATTGTAACTAATCATTTATGTTGATCACATTTACTTATAGAATCTCAATATTTATTATTTTTTTATTTGTAGATATTTAGGCTTTTACCTATTTTACACTTTGTTTTTTTGTTTGCACTTTTATGTCTGCATTTTTGCTTATGCATTAATTCTTAGAATAATATACATTATATTATAATAGTTATCTATTTTCATTTCATCCATTAGGTTAAAAGATAAATGTATAGTAGTAAGTAGTATTTAGTATTATAGTAGTATTTGAAGTATATTAATACTTAAAATAGTTATAATTTATTTGTATATAGGTACATACTTCAAACATTTTTCTTTATTACATATCTAGAAATAAATTAAAGCTTAAACATATTTGGAAAAATACTTTTCATTTTACATCAATACTATTTTAATTTAAATGGTAAGTTTGACAAAAAATCGAAAACCAATATATCAATATGTCCACAAAAAGTTCGCCTCTTTTTTATGGAGAATTCCTGAATCCGTCCCTGGTATTCACATTACCTTAAAATGCCAACACCTACCAGAGTTTCCTTAACGAATTAAATAAATTATTTTAAATTATAAAATATTTTATTTATTTCTAATTATCTTGAAATCAATTTTAAATTAAAATAATGTATTAATATAAAATATATCGATGGTCCAGTTTTCTGTATCCTACAGCAGTGGCGAAACGAACCTAAAATAACCCATAAGCAAACTTACAATTTACACACCAACCCACCCACCCAATTACCGGCTATAATAGGTACCTATTATATATTTAAAATATTTTTTTGTTCAATTAATGTATATATATATATTATTATATTAATATATATTTTTACCAATAAATTTAGGTAGGTTACTTATATTATAATAAATAGTATATTATACTGTATAATAGTAGGTTCATATTATAATTAGGTAGGTATTGTAATATCATTTTTTTGTTTTTGAAGAAACTGAAGAAAATAAAACATAATAATAAAATGTAGGTACCTATTATTATAAAATAATTGCATTCTAGGAGATGAGAGACAATTCCTTTATTCTTATAATGTAATTATAATTAACATATTTTACAGCAATCTAGATAATGTATATAATGTATTATATTAATTTAAAACAAATTTAAAAATATGAAATTAATTATTTAAATATCAACTGTTTTTTTAAAACATCTGAAGTCATGGCAAACGTATCTATGGCTTCATTGTAATTGATTTCAATATCCTTTTCCATGCTCAAAATCAATAAGCTTTCAAGTCGGTCTTGTCCAGTTGTGGAACGTAGGCGAGTTTTAATCAATTTTACCTAAAACAAAATGTTTATAGTTCTAAAAATATTGTATTTGTTAATTGTTGTTAACTTATACTATTACAAAATGCATGTCTACATAAATGTACACATATTGTATGCACAATACAGAATTTATGTAATTATAATATAATATAATATAATATTATATTATATTATACAATAATTATATTTATATAATTTATATTTATACACTAATAAATTAGTATTACCTTTGAAAAGCTACGTTCAGCTGAAGCAGAAGAAGCAGGTATTGTACCAAGTGACTTATAAGCTTTGTACAAATTGGGAAAAGCTGATATCAAGTTGTAACTTGACAAAATATGAAGAATTCTTTCTACACTAACTTTTTTTTCAACTACTTGTCTGTCATCTTCATAACTAGTGATACTGGAATCACTATCTTCAGAACATTGTATACACTTGACATTCTCATGTAGTTGTTTTGGTTCAAGTCCTACGACCAATTCATGTAAACTACTACTGAAAGCTAAATACTCTACTCTTAAATCTTGTAAATTTATACCATGTATCCATTTTGCTAATTGGTCAAAAGCATCTTCGGGCAATTTTTTACTATTGTGTTGTATTTTAGATCAGAAGGCAATGGCTGACAAGGTCCGAGATTCACAAAGTATGTTAATATTTCATTTGACATGGTTTCTGGCCAATGAACAGGATCATTTGGGAACACACTATCCATAACTTGGTATTCTAAAAAGAAATTATGATTTATCACTGTCAGTCTAATTCACTGCCACCAACTTATATTTTATTGTTATGATTGTAATGTTATAAAATGTTAATTCTTGTCAGTTGGAATAAAATAAATTATTACTATTTTATAGCTCCATGTTCCCCCACAAGGCCACAATTATGTAGTTATCTATATAAATTGGTATAATTTATACTATTTAAGTATAACATTTTCATATTCCACGTACCTGTCAAGTTTGTCGATTCAGTTGATATTCGACAGTTGATATCGTTTGATATTGTTGTTTCAAATGACTCTATATAACATATAAAAATAAAGTAATTTATTAGTGCACATTTGTTGTAACTTGTAAGTCACAAAGTTAAAATTGATCAGGGAAGCAAATTAAAGTTTCAAATTTTTTAAACTCTTCTAACTTTAATTTAACATTACATTTTTGGACTCATTATAAAATGATAAATAAATTTGGATAGTAATGGACTTGTAATAAACACGTGGACTTATATCAGAAACTTCTTTTGAAAAAATTATCATTTAAAACATTAATATTTTTTTTAACAATAATAGGTACCTGTATCGGCTGTATCTTTAGTATAATCAGAAGTTGTACATGTACTCAAATTGTTTTCAGATAATAGTTCAGAGTTTAGGGCATCATTTTGACTGCATGTTGGGTTTTCATCTACAAATACAAAAAATTATTTAATAATCGCTTAAAAAATAATACTTCCTTAGTTTTTATAGTAAATAATTATTTTTTTTATGTATTTAATTACAAAGAACAAAAAACTGTTAATACTTTTGAAAAATTACTAAATGGTGAAATTTAAAACTATTACCTATTGTTAATTTGATGGGTGACTTCAAAGTAAGGATTGGACTCTGGCTAAATGACAAACTGGTTGATAACGAATTGGACCCTTCTTCATCCATTCCAACTAAAATAGTAAAAATAACGTACAAGGTGAAATGAGGTAACAATATTAACAATAATAGGTACCTGTATCGGCTGTATCTTTAGTATAATCAGAAGATGTACATGTACTCAAATTGTTTTCAGACAATAGTTCAGAGTTCAGTGCTTCATTTTGACTGCATGTTGGGTTTCGATCTTAAAATTAAAATAACTCAAATTATCATAAAAGTTAATTTAAAAAAAAAATGTAATATGATTGTAAATCAAAATATGTGTTGCTTAAGTGAGAATTTAAGATAGTTTTGAAGAAAATGTAGGTACATACATTTTTATATTCTAAACACAAAACATATTTTATTTATATACAGGTAAAATATAACATATTACCAGTATTACCAGATACGTGAGCTATGAATTTTATATGTATTAAAAAAATATATTATACAAAAAAACGAATAGCATTTTAACTATAATATATTAGATTTGGCAATTGCAACTTAACTAACAATATAAATAGGGTATTTATACATCAAGTCTCAAATTATGTATTATAAATAATAAATATTATATAAGTAGGTATATAAAATAATTCAAACTTACCTTTTACACTTGTGGTAATTTTAAAAAACTTGGCAATATTACTGTTGTTTGACATAATTTTTCTCTTTTTACTCTTACATGAAATAATGTGCCTTGTCCAATTTGTGTTATTCAATTTGTCACGATTTTTCCCACATTCACAAATTTCAGAGTTCATAGTGATAGTTTAGAAGCACAATATTATAATATTTGTATTTTGTAATATCAAATAGGTAAAAATTAAGTTATTACAGACTATTTACAGTGCACAATAAAATACGAAACAGATACGTCATACGCATAAGATAATCAACTCATCGACAAACGTCAAACACTAAGCTGAAAATCGCAATAACCGCATGTCCGCATTAGGCTATTACTTATTAACGTTTTATTGAATTTTCAATAATGATAAATTTATAACAATATCGTCATTATCACACCAGTCACTCGAGCATAGGAATGTCAACGGGCGGGTGGGCGACGCGACAGAAATAAACACAGCCCACAGGAAAATCCCAACTTGGTGGTTATTTGTAAATACCATGACGGGCAAAACATTAACGTTTTATAACGCTATGTAACATGATCAAAGATGCGTCCGATGTAGTTTACATCTATTGTCTCGTACTCTCGTTTACTATTGCTTATGCTTATGTAAATATTGTAAATGTCTTAAATGTATTTTATATTATTAATCGATGATGATAAAATAAATTCCTTATGTATAATATTACTTTTACAACTTTTGACACATTTACTGATTAGTAACATACTTCTAGGGCTTAATAATACTATTAATTAATTAGTTATGGTTATGCACTTTCATATTTTCACCCACGACCCACGGCACCCACCTACCCTTGGAAAAATCAAGAAGCAATCGCTTCTCAAAGACCACGGTCGTTTCGCCACTGTCCTACAGTCCAAACTTTAACCCGCGGTCCACCAGTTGCCGACGTCAGTGCTATTATATAGGTAATAATGATAATATATATAATAGTACCATGCCATCATACCATCCTACTTGGTAAGTATATCGGCTGATAACTTCCATCTAATGTTACTCTTTGACTATTTGTGATTTAATAATATTATTATTTTTAATTATTAGACAATAGTTATATTTTTGTTTACCATTCCGCAATGTACCTACATATTCCCAGTAAATGCTGTTAATTTTAATTTGTTAATGGTATTTTCAATTGCTATAATTATAAAATATAATTACTATTTAATGCACAAATAAAATATGTGCATTCATTTCCACCGTTTACAAAGGACTCTTTTTCTCTTCATACTATTTTTTATACCTGCTGTCGAGTGGAGTTTTCGTTGCTCTACGTCTTGATAATTAATATCTAAGTACTTGCTTATTTAAAAGTATGTAAAAGTATAAAACAACTTTGGTCGAAAATTAAAAAAAAAAAAAAAAAATCAGCGGAAAGTGAGTGACTTACCTGTCTATATTATAATATGGTTCACTGTTAAAATAGTTCATTATACATCCCTATCGCTTACTTGAGAATACATGTATATGAGTTCTGCAGGTATATTGTATGTGTGTTTTGAGCGTGTTTCTCCTGTAAACATCAACTTCCCATAACACTAGTACCTACTAATATTATAACAGTGTTATTTACTTATATTAATATTTTACATCTCATACAACGTGGGCACAATCTCCCCGAAGTGTATATTATAGTATTATATTAATATGATCTTGAACAATATTTGTATATTATACAATACATTAGATACCTACATAGTACTACATAATATAGTTTATATTATATTAGGTATATATTATTTTCTCCAGAGTTTCTTCGAAAAAAATAATATTTTATTTATTGCAAAAGATTCATTATGCTAAAATAAAATAAACTCTTAATGTATACCATTTATATAAAATTACAATTTTATACGTTTCAATAAAGAATAAAATAAAATATCAATTATAATAATGCTTAAGTATTAAAAAGAATGAAAAAAAATAATAAAAAATAACTTACTACAATATTATGTTATATTATGAATTATAATATTATTATACAACATCAAGAAATATCAAAGAGAAGGTTTAATTCAAGTTAAATACATTTATTGAAATGGTAACGAATAATATACTTATTTTAATAATAATGGATGATTTATAACTATTATACACATAACACATTATATTATCATCGTCTGAATTAGTGTGTAACTTTTGGCTTTAACGGAATTTACATTACAGGTACCTACACATAATAATACAGGTTTAGGACATTATATTTCTATAATAATAATTTCTATAGGCGATAAAATTAAATCTATAATTTATGTTCTTATTACATACTGACCCTGGTCAGTCCAAAAATTACAATGACATTGATTCTATCATATAATTTATTAACAATACAGATAATATTATTACCATGGACATCTAAATATTATTTAGCACTGATTAAAATTTAAATTCTAGAAATAGTAAAATTTTTTATTTAAAATTTTTAAGTAAACGAGTGAATATTAAAAATCGAATACAAACTGATCAGATATACTGGTTTTTTTCACTTCTTCATTTTGATTTTCATTTGATTCTTCGTTTGATTCTTCGGAACAATCTGTTTTGTCAGTTACTAAAAAAATTGAAATTATTAACGATGCAAATGTCAAGCAATTATAATGTTTAAACTTTCAAACTTGTGAGCACAAGATTTAAATTTAAAAAAAACACTGTACAACCCGTTTTTAATTTTTATTTAAACCATTTAAATTGATAAGTCCAATTTTGAAAAACGACATCCGAAAAATGTCTAAATTGTTTCATGTAATATAATGTTGATTGACTAATTTTGTGCACATTTGACCAAGACGAGTGAAAATGGAAAGATAATGAAACTGGATCGTGGTGTCATTTAGTCGTGACACATAATAATAATGTTATCCCGGTGTGTAATGTGCTGCACTCGGAGCGTAATTTTTAGGTATAGTTAGGCGCAGTAAACCAAATTTTGGAATTTAAAACTTTTTTGTTAGCTTTAATTTTTAACCAAACCCAGTTTTTGATCGTACAGCAACGTATATATCTATTGTCGAAGTGTTATAACCGTACAACTTTTCTACATTTGATATCTCCCGAGTGCATCGTATAGACTACACATCTACAGATAACATTTTTAGTTTTTTTAGTTTATTTTTTTTAACATAAAATAGTGAAAAATTTTTTTGAAATATTTCATCCGTATTTACATAACGGAAACTATCTAATTAAAATTGTAAAATAACAGGAACTGCAGCGTTCCGGTCCATTCCGACCACTGGTTTACCCGGAGGAGGGTCGGTATACGTTGGGTGTATTATATCGCGTGGTAGCTCTGTCAGCAAATCATTAATGAAGATATGAAATCCAATAAGTGTATTAATATGTTACCGTGTGGTTTTGGATCTGTGCGGACAGGGAAAATCTGATCATATAACATATATTAATATAATGACAACACAATATAAATTATGGGATATAACTTGACCCCGATCGGTGACAAATTATGATAAACGGACTGCAAAAACAAGCTGCTATATTGATTTTGCGGTCGACTGTATCCGCACACAAACACTGTTTGTATATGTTAAGTATTTAAGTGCCGAGCGGATGTCAGCGCACTAGTCGTTTTCTCTCTCCGACATTGGTGTAATGTGACAAATTTGCGTTTAGCAAAACCAATACAGACTGTGTCGTTGGTTCGGCACTAGAGGAAGCATATTATTACCGTAAGATTGAATTGATTTATTATCAAATTTAAATTTAAGTCAATTATCTGTGTCTGTATTCCTACGTTAGCTTTTTACATTGTTTGATTTTTTTTTTTGAAAAATATCAATATTTTTAAATTGTTATATTTTGCATACTCATCACTTGCATAGCAATAATAATTTTAATAACTATCGTAAATAGCTAACAACATAGATAATGTTCTTTTATTAAGGTTTTGTAATATTTCAATTGAACCGCATGTTAAAGCTATAACAACACAAGCTTGGTTCTGCTAAACTCAAATACGCTGTGTTGCACTTGGGTCAGAGAGAGAAAATAAATAGTGCACTGACCTCCTCTTAAGTGGATTCGATTTTACTAAAAGTTAAAACTTAAGCGTACGCGCCAGTACGCCACACCTATTTTTAGTCCAACGCAATGAATCGTACCAATAACACTAGTGATACGATAAGAAGTCTGAAAACATATTTGAATTTATCATGAAGTTAAATCGAGATGGATCATCTCACTTTAAAGTTTAGACTATCATCTTCCCCTTAGTTTGGTTTTAAAATGTAAAAATTAAAAAAATTTTCTTAATCACACGGAATAAAAAAATAAAAAGTGAGATAATCATCAATTATTAGTAAACTTTATAAAAAAATGTAATATGTTTTCAGATTTTTTATTGTATTACTAGTTTTATTGGTATACGATTTATAAAAGATGAAAAAAAAATCCTCTTAATACAACTACCAGTAAGTTAAATCTGGTTTGAATTGGCTATTCACAGTAAATATTCTATCATACGAAAGTACTGATAACATCAAATGACGAATCAAAACATTTATTATTAGTATTCATAAATTTGTTAAAAAGTAGGTACCTTCCTATATGTACTCTCATTAAAATAATTATATTAAAATCAATACATTCATAACAACTTAGGTATACTATATACACAATAATAATATAAATTTAATTTAATACGATGTACAAAAACCAGTGGGAATTGAGCTCCCTTACTATCTATGTGGGTGCCATCAAAATTCAAATGGCAAGTATTAGCATTATTACAGACAAATAGCTCGAAATCGTAATAGCACGTAACATTTAAAAATGACTTATTGGAGCCTGGGATCAGGGATAGATATTATTATGTATATTTATTTGTCCCTTCACCCTATTGCTATTCGCACCAACTAACCGGTATAATATAACAATTTTCCAAATTAACCAGATCAATGGTTGTCACTAAAAAATCGATATTTACGAGATATTGCGTTTTACTCTATTACCTACGATTAAATACAGCGAGTCAGTTGTATACTACACTCAGGGTCACTTTAAGGGTTGGGATGGATTCGCAAAGTATAAACACATTTATTATTTATTGAGGAGTTCCATTCATCGGGTATTTAAAAAAAGTAATTAAAAAGTATTGATTTATCGAAATTTTTTTTAATTACAAATTAAATAGTACGATATTATATATATGCCAAACAATAAACAAAACGGGTGGGTAGGTAATTACTTATTGAGTGGTGTCTCGTTAGTCTTTAATTTAACTTCTCTGGACCGGACTTCAAAATAATGCATGCGTGTAACGGGCAGCGAAATGTGTTGCTAGGAATAATAAAATAAAATTATTGACTCGTACGAGCTTTTACGATGACGGTAAAAAGTACTTATCATTGGCTATTGGTAAATTAATTATGAAGTGCAGCTTAACACATTCACGGTCACTTAACTTTTTGTATTATTTATTTCCCCTTCTCCGAAAATTACTCAAATTAATAACAGTGTTTTTATTGGGGTTTTGGTTAATTCGGGTGTTTTTAAAACAGAATCATTCGGGTTGTATGGGTTTCAGCCGGTTCTTCGGGTGTTTGATTTTTTAAGGGTTTTTAAAGGTGTTACGGGTTCTGATTAATTCTGATGAAAGGCCATAATTTTAAGAGGTTTTTTAGGAGCTATAGACACAGTCAGTACAGTTGTACTACAATCGAAAACAGCTACATTAGGGAAGGCCTAAATTATTAATTAATAGTGTCATTGATTCATTTCAAAATTTAACCCTAGGATGATTAAAAATAACCTATCCTAGACAACAAATTCTACTAATTTGATAGTACTTGCATCACAGTGTGGCTAATTACCTACCTATAATGAAAATAACAATATAATTGGTAAAAAAAAAAATTAAACCTTTAACAGAAAATAAAAAATAAAAAAAGGTGGGTAAGTGGATGTCACTCTGCTGTACAGTAGTGGGTCACTGTATAATGGATGCTATTAAATTTGAATTCAATGATATAATATCATTGTATAAGAAAAACGATTCTGAGCGAAGACGGTATGTCAGTCTAGGTTTAAGATAAATTATATACAAATCTTTGGTATTAAAAAAAAATTGACCTATAATAAATTCCAAATTAATCATATCACATTATCACAATATCCATTAGGTACTTATAACACGTTATACATCAACATCAATAACAAACCCTGATACTATCATCGATATATAATAATACACTTTAGAAGTTTCAAGTAGGTACCCCGTACCCACGAATAATATTATATAATCACAACAAAATAACTAGGTTTTTTAATATGAAATTTCGTCCAAATTTGAACATAAAATGACTATAAAAATAAACTGTGATTGTATATTTTTTAGATTTTTCGGTAAGAGAATTAACTACTTACGTAGAATCTTGTTTTAAATTTTCAATCCTTAGCTATAAAAACTGAACATTTTATAATTTATTAATTACGATGATTAATAATTTTCGAGATTTTGAAAAATTCTGTCAAAATTCGATGTTAAAATGCTTATAAAAAAAAATTGTGCCTATCTATTTTTAATATTTTTCAACTGATATTGTAACAATATATCAGGAGCCTTGTATTAAATTTTTACACTTTTTGGCCCAACAGATAAAACTTAATTGATATTTATAGAAAAAAAAAACTAAAAAAATTGAAAACTGAAAATGTCCGTAAACGGCTCAAAAAGAGTCAAAATATTTTCAAAATTGTATGGTGTATAGGAAATGCTAATATAAACATTCAGTGAAATTTTCATGTATCTACAGTAATTCGTTTTTTAATTACAACAAAAAAAGGAAATTGCCACATGAGAAATCGAGTGAATATCCAATGTTGTAAAAATTTGAATTTCAAACGCTCATAAAAATTTAATTTGACTTTCCATAAGAGATTTTTTTACTGATAAAGGTAGACAATCTTATGAGTAATCTTGTATTAGATTTTCAAATCTTAGATTTAAAAAGAAAAATTTTTACGAATTCTTAACTCAAAATAATTTGCTAATTTTCGTGATTTTTCCATATTTTGTCAATTTTTGAACTTTAAATGCTTATAAAAAAAAATTGTGACTAAGGATTTTTAATATTTTTCATCTGCCTTTGAAACAATATATTAGGAGCCTTCTATTAAATTTTCAAGCTTTCGCAACCAACAAATAAAATTTTATTGATATTTCTAGAAAAAAAACTAAAAAAAAACGAAAAATGAAAATGTCCCTAAACTGTTCAAAATAAATCAAAATATTTTGAAAATGTTATCGTGTATAGAAGATGCAAATATAAACAACCAGTGAAAATTGCATGTATCTACGGTCATTTGTTTTAAAGTTACACCAAAAACCAGAATCGATTTTTTGGAAAACCGATTTTGCGTAAAAATTCCCGTTTTTCCTTAATTTTTATGTTGTTTTTCCCGGCGCTTGTGAAAACTACTGGGAAATTTAAATTTTGACCTACCCAATGCACCAACGATATTCACTTTCCAATCGAACAAGATACTGAAGTCGAAAATCGAAGCATTATTTCGACTACTTATCGTGTACACAGACACAAAAAAAAAAAAATAAAAAAATAAAAAAAAAAAAAAAAAAAAAACACACATCATTGTAAAATCAATACATTCATCGTTTCACTCAGAATCTAAAATATAATAACGATAAACGGAAAAAAATCAATAACGTTTGAAAGTACAACAACGATAAACATTAAAACTGTATAACCTTTAAATATCCATAAACATAAAAACGATGTATTTTTTTTTAATTTAAGCCCTGTAGATAAGGCTTTTTCAGGGTTATGGTTAACAAACGTACAATTTTGTTAAAAAATTACATATTATTGTTAAGTTGTTAACTATTCAGGTTTGTTAGCATCTATGTTCATACTACGTATATGATATTTAAAGCAAACTATTTAAAAATATAATTTTCTTAGTATTAAAATAAAAATTAACTCACCAAATAATGTAATAAATAACTTTTCCATTTGGAGATCCGTTCCAGACCACTACCAAACCACTACCAGACTGTCTAACCCACTACCAGACCTAACTAATCACATTGTTCCATACGAAATTGTGAATAATAATATAATCTAAATACTGTCAATATATTGGTAATATGTTATAAAGTTGGCGGGCGATGGGAGATTCATAAGAATTGTAGTTCCCCCCAAGATTTGAACTCTAGTTGCGCCACTGATTATATACCTACCTACGACTTATCGCAGTAACCATTACGCTGCAGCGGTGATACCGAATACGATGCATTATGTCGCATAATAAATACACAAGTTAATAGCGTTTCGGTGTTTATGTGGTCGTGGAGATAGCCGAAAACGTTTCAACTATGAACATTATACCGAACTAATCTTATTATCCATCATGTGTGCAGTGTGTACGTGCGTCTGTGTGCATTTTAAATTTATATGAACATAATATAATATTATCATGTTTTTCAAGCAGGAATTTATTCTAATAATAAACAAAAAAAACTTTAGAAAAACTGCACTTCATACAAAAGTATCCAAGTTTACCTACCCATATCACTATATCAGGTCCACGTGGGTGGGATGCGTAAGTTCTTAGTTCTTACATACCGCCACTGCGTGGGGATGCTCAACTCGAGAGAGTATAATATATAGTGCTCGGTTTGCAGCAGTATCGATGACGCACAACTCCAACTTACTGCCGGCCAACGTCATATTTTATTGTTTTATAATATACAACCACCACCAGCAATATTATTACAAATCGGATAATAACAATACTACGGCGACCGTGTATTTTACGTGCCACTATACAGTACATAACAATTGACCGGAATCAAATTGATCGCAAAGGCGTTTGGCTAATTAGGCAGGTAGGTAGATAGGTAAATGCGTGCATTGATTGCGATTCTGCGATAGGAACAATGTCGCTGTTTTTGTTGTAGGTATACAGTCGAACTCGCGGCCACCACACTCGATGCACAATTATTATTCACTTGGATAATTGCATTTTTTTCATCCGAGTTCGTTTATATTGGACAACGCGCATAGCTATATTTACCGGGTACAATTTTAATTATTTATGAGGTAAATACTATTCCACTATCACCGTGTTCCGTGTGTTGGGTATTATCACGTTATCACATAGTGTACCAAATGTTTTAAAATACCCGACTATAACTCCATCGTCTGATCAGGTGGTTGATGAATAATGGCTAATGATATAACTAGGTATTGAAATAGTTTTACCTAAAAATAATAGTCTATTTTGTGAATAACATGAGAAAATCCTGAACACGGCTATAGTGGAATGGTATGGCAGGCACCCTAGCTATAAGAGGACGCCATACTGTCCATAACTTAACAGCGAAAATGGTTTTGCATGAGAAAAATTTACGGAGAAAGTTGTATTCACAGTAGTCTTTTATCATACATAAAGAAAAAATGTATTTAGGTATGCCATAGCGTTTTCATTTTTTAAAAAACTCAACGACAATCTAAATTTTTCTTTCGCACAGATTCATATTTGTTTTGTTTTTTTGATTTGCTTATTAAAAGTCATTGAGCATTGATATCAAAAAAACAAAAACGCTTCGACGCAGATAAAGTTCGCTTATGTGCGTAGTGTGAATAACATTTGGCGCATCTATTGTGAATAATGTCCCTACCTACTCGTAAGTCGAAAGTTTGTCTCGAGCGAAAAGGTTTTCTGTATAATCTCATTAGTGCGCAACAACCAATGTTGGTACTGACATGGGACCACTTCTAAAATACTTTGAGTTAGTATTTAAATTTATTTAAGATTAAACAGTTTAATTCTTCTCAAACTTTCATTAAAATTGCTTACATTAAATCTCTTAAATTGGGAGCTGTGGCGTCCTCTTAACGCGCGCCACTGCACCCCCAGCGGTAGTATCACAGTGCCACAGCCTACTATCGAGACAATATAATTTTACCACCACCGCTGCAGCATGTGATGACCTATATAATAATATAGGTACAGTGATTATTGTTATTATTGTTACCCAAATATGTAGCAACTAGCAAGTATCGGTAAGATAAAAAAAAAAAATAACTAACGTTGACGGACTCACTCGTGTTTATTTTGCCGTTGACGCTTTTACTTCTGATAGTGGACACGACGACTTTGAATGGCACTTTGTCGATTTTGATGATCGCCGAGCCCCGGTTCGGTTCCATCGTCAGCGTCAGGCTCCTGCAGCAGTTTGAAAACACATAATTACGATACGACCTTAAACGGGAATAGACTTTGAGATTAAAACAACAACAACAAAAAAAAAAAATTGTGTTTTCATTTCCTTATAATATGTTGGCTGGTTTTCGTATACTTTTACTCACCGGCAGTCGGGTTCGCTGTAGTAGTCCATGCAAATCGAATTAGAGTCCGGCGGCACCCTCCGGTGACGTACGCATTTCAGTTCGACGACGTTCGCTCGATTCCGGTCCTGTCCGGTGAGCAAAGCGAATCGGTTCAGGCTCTTGTTCGTCGCTAACCTCTGGTTACGTCCCGGGGTGCAGAGCTCCGTGTGGCTGTGGCCCACCGTCGTACAGCCTGATATGTAGTTCCGGATTGATGACCGGAAATGAGGATGAGAGAGGCCGTATACTATGGGATTGTACACCACAGACGCCTGTGGGAATATGGCACAATATTATATGTATATAATACATACACTGCACGTTCGATTATTGTAGTTAGTGAGCATCGAGGCGCGTGGTACCTATAATATTATAATTTTTCAAAGCCTTTGAATTATATATATTATTTACAATATAAATACGAGTCGTAACTTATAAAATAAAGAGACATGTCACGATTAAAATATAATATAGTCTCTAGCCCGGTCTCCTGATTACAGATTAGTCAGAAATTATTAGATTGACTTTTAGATTTTAAAACCACGCGAGAAGAGTGTGGTGCCGTGTAGGATGAAAACAATTCGATAAGATAAGCTTAAAAAAAATATGCGGATGAATTAAATTTAAAAGGTGAAACGAGAATATTTGATAGCAAGTAAAAGGCAAGACAGTTAATGCGATGATCAAAGTCGAAAGAACAGAATAAAAACATAGTACCTATAATATATTATATTATTTTATATATTTAAGTGCATATTATAAACGTTTATAAATGATATAGTTTATAGTTTTATATGTTGAAAATACAATTCTGAATCCAATGATGTGTAATTTTATTTTTGTCCGTCCACAAACAATTTTTTTGCCAAAATAACGAATGCTTTAAAACCGTAAATATAGGTACTTAGGTAAATAATAGCCAATCCATGCATCGAAATGCCCATTAATTTATTGAATTTCGTAGTAAAGGGAAAATAAACACATTACGAAAACCCGTGTAAAAAATGTAACCGTTTGTTTACATTACCTGATGATGAGCATAAAAAAAATCTATGGTTATTTGGGGGAAGGGCTATACATCGCAGCGTTTAGAATCGTTTTCTTTATAATATGTGATATTTTATAATATCAGTCAGCCTTAGGAATCCATAATATTGTGCTGGGTGGATAAGTGGCTTTCGTCAGAAAATCGTATACGTAGTAGGTAATTGAATAGAGTATAATATATAATATAGTGATGCAAAACGTAGAAATAAGATAATATAGGTATAGTGCGCAAATGCGTAACATATACTTTAATAATATCTTACAACTAGAATATTATGGCAATGAATGAATTAGGTATCAAACAGCCTCTAGTTTTCGACGGGGCCTATATAACTTTATATAGGTTCATTACATGGGTTCAAAGTGTAAAAACTATTCAAAGTGCGGCAGTCCTTTGAAATTTTAAATTATTTGGAGTGCACCTATAGTATAGCCATCGTAAGAACGCTACTGGGCGGCGACCAAAATTCATCCGATCTCGCGCATTCCCACCACTAAACCTTCCCGAACGCTGGCCGCCGTCAACTCTGGCCGCCGCCACTGTCGCCGTCATCGCTACTGTCGCTGCCACTACTGCCTATTTACGGTGGCGACTAGATGGTAGAGTGGGAGAAACTTGGGTACGAAACTGCGGAGCTCGGTCATTTGGATGCGCGAACGAGTAGCGTTCTTACGATGGCTATACTATAGTGAAACTGAATAATACAATTTGAGAATAGTTAAACTATGTGTAAATAAATGACGTGAAACAGGGATCTGGTTTTAAGCACAGAGTAATGTTATTAAAAGTTATAGCGTAATTTCTGTATAAATGCAATTTTAACAATTCGATATTATCTCAACCAACTATAATGTATGATATAGGACAATCACTGTAAATTGAATAATAGGATTAAATTGATTCGTAGTATACATTTGTAGTATTCATTTGTTATAACGCCTAAGTACCTACGCCTGTATTAAAATGTATTAATTAAAATTATGCATATTATATTATAATGATCATACTAAATAGTAATGATAGTCATACTTTAAATATATAATATTCGAGAGAACACACAATAGTTCAATGAATGTATTATTAAACCAATTATATTATTAAAGTATTATAAGTGATATGCACCTATATAATTGTGTTATTACTTATTAGTATGACTTTATTATCATTATTTTTTTTATTGATATTTTATCAAACATAATATGTTAACTTAACCGTTATATTATAATTATAATAACAATTCAAAAGTTAGCTATTGTTTATAAAAATTATAACTAATAAATTCAATTTAATTACTTTTGTATTGTATCACCATTTTTTATTTAATTATAAATTTTTTTATTATTTTTTTTTTATTTTTTTTTTTTTTATTTGTTGATATTGTCTTAATAATACAATTAGAATAAGTTCATAATTCAAGTAAAACAGTTAAAATATAGTTCGCGTTCATTTTAAAATATTATAAAAATGAATTGGCCATAGAATAAGTCATTTAAATTCTATAGTTTTGTAAAATGTTTTTCAAATTTATATTTTAATTTAGCAAACAGATTAATTTTAATCTCAAAATAATATATGCCGAAATGATTGTTATTATTTTTATATGATTGAAATTTTTAGTAGACACAAAACGATCAATATTATATGAACATAAATATCAGTATAGAGAACTAGTTGAAAGTTATGTTATAGCTTTGGGTGGAATATAAATCAAAATACTTAAAACACTAAAAAGAACTTAGTCGTACATGTTCTTTTTTATGTAAAAAGTAATATAGTGTTCTCGAATTGTAAAAAAAAAGAAATGCATTCATTCGTTAGGTTGAGATGTAAAAGGGTTAAAAGTTATGAAATTATTTCGACATTTTTATTCTGAACAATATAAATACCTACGGCCGTCTAACGCGTTAAGATTATAATAATATCAATATCAATCCTAAACTACTTGCGCCTTGCGGCATTATTCTTTTTAGTATTACTTTTAAGTGAAATATTATTTTTAAATTATTTAATTTTTAAATTGTAAATATTATGTTATAATATACTATTATAATGCTTAAATTTTTCACGAGAAAATAAATATTTTTTTATAGGAGCATAAAATCAAACGTTTTTATCTCTGATACTTGTATTTACAATTTACATACTGTATTAATTATTAAACATAGGTACTAAATTATGAGGTCTGGTGGTGGTCACTCATTAGTCATTTCGATTCACTCACTACGCCTCAAGCCACTGTATTTATTTTGTATTCTTGTATTATCATGTAAGATGTTGGATTATAAAACAATATTAGTGTAAACTATATAGGTAATATTAAATATTGTTAATAATATTGCAGTAGTTAATGAAATAACAATACTTTTCGTCACAACTAAAATATCTAATAAATAAAAATGCACCAGAGATGGTTTTAGAAATATAAGGAAGGTAATTTAGCATAAAATCATATGACAAACCTTAGCGCATATGGCTGGAAGAGCAGAAATCCACGGCTCTATCTTTGTCTGGCTTCCAAATTGACCAACAAACGTGACTACAGCATACGGTGTCCAAGACGCTATAAACAATCCAATGAGGATTAAGATTATATATGACGTTCTCAGGGCAGATCGAATAGGTACTGCTTGACCTCGTCTGGCGACATTTAAAGCTAATCTGTAATCCCAACTCTCTGTAAAAAAAGATTTTTTAATTTGTAAAATATTGTGTTATAATTTTTAAAAAATACTGTGCTTAATTTGGGACACCTATCTCAAATAATAATATTTCTGATGTGAATGTTATATACGCATAGTATTATGGTTATCGATAGGGCACTGAAAAAATGTGCTTTTCCGTTTAAAACTTACTTTCAAAGTTTTTACTTTTTACATACCTTATTCAACAAAATATTAAACGTATAACTTGAAAATGTCACTTAGATTTTTTAAAATTCCATTTTAAAATCACTCCGTGTGAGGTGAGACTATTATAGTAGTTATAGGTTACTGCACTGCCACACTCAGCTCATAACTGTATCTCTCTAAAAGTCTAAACCAACATACCCTGCTCTAATATGAGATGAATACCATTACTAGTAAACCTATATGCAATCGATTAACTTAAAATAATTGGTTCTGTGATCATACCAATAATTGCTTTTAAAATAATCGATGGCATTATAACATTCTGAGAAAAGTGAGAAATATATTTGATATATTTTGATAATATATAGGGTGTCCCAGCAGAAGGGCACATTTTAATTAAGCCGAGATTTTTTTGTTTCTGGGTTTACAGCACTGTCCCAATGTTTTTCTTACCTTATAACATCCCCAATTTGTCATCGCAAAGCAGTTTTTGGTACCTATTCGTCGTCATGAAGAGGTTCAAAGTTGAATAACGAGTACCAATAGTGAAAACGCACTACAAGTGCGGAGAGTGTGTCGCGGAAACGTTGCGAAAGCTTCGGACGATCTTCTGCGAGCGACTGTCGCAAAATTGTCGAATTTGGGGGACAGAAAACCGAAGACAAACCCAAGAAAGATCCGAAGATCGCCCGAAGCTTTCGCAACGTTTCCGCGACATACTCTCCGCCCTTGTAGTGCGTTTTCACTATTGTTACTCGTTATTCCACTGTGAACCTCTCCATGACGACGAATAGGTACCAAAAACTGCTTTGCGATGACAAATGGGGGATGTTATAAGATAAGAAAAACATTGGAACAGTGCTGTAAATCCAAGGAACAATAAAATCCTGGCTTAATTAAAATGTGCGCTTCTGCTGGGACACCCATACAATGATATCTTATATGTATTACCTAATACCTATATTTTACTGTGAACAATTTTCTGTATTAGAAGGAGTGTTCAAAAAGTTGTATAATAAGAACCCCCATTTAGATCAGAAATTGGGATTTCCCCAATATTCTCTTTAATTGTAAACATATATTATGCACAACTATCGAAAAGCTTTGAAGGCGTGTCGGCGGCCAGGTTTTGCTGATCTATAAGTCGTATTTTGTCCGGATTTTCTTACGTTGATAATATCAATTTGATTGTTAATAAAATTCTAACAACTATTACCTAGTGTTTTATAACCATCGCAAGTAGTGAAGTAATGTTATTTAGAAAATATCTCATAGAAATACATGTTTCGTAATTTTATTACTGTTTGATTTGTTTATGTAATAAAATATTATTATTGTTTGGATAGAATAAAGTAACTAACCTGCGCCCAACGGTCCTGCGTTGGTGTTACAATCGGCCATTTCTTTATTGTGGTCGAGTATTGACACAATAATAAATATATAGCAATATGTAATGATGGAGACCGGCAATATAAATCCGAGCACCAACATGTAGATGTAAAATAACCGATTTGAGACGGTTCTGGTCGTATAGTCCCACGAGCATGATGTTTCGAATCCTTCCAATACATACTTTGACCAACCGAAAATCGGTGGCAATGTTATTGATAAACAGTATATCCATACAAAAGCACACACCTAAAAATAAAGAGAACATAAAACAAAATGTAAACGTACTATTGTTAAGCAGGTATGCATAAACAAGTAAACTCGTGTGATAAAATCATATCGATCTTGTATTTATAATTAAAACTAAAATTACACGTTTTATAGTACAGTTTTAAGTATAAGGCGACACAAAATAATATTTTATCCATAATAATTCGTGAATTAATAAATAATTCACTTTATATTAAAAAAAACTTTCGGAACATTTTTACATTTTTTATTACAATTATGTATGATTAGTAATTACTAATTGCATAATATATTATTCTCGTATTAATTTTCTACTTTAATGGTCATGACTTTTTAGCAGTTTTTAACAACTCCGAGAAAACTACAAGGACCGTCTAAAAATGACCGGTTTGAGAAATGTTCTGTGACCAATTAATCAAGGAGAGGTCTCGTTTAATATTTGTATCATTTTTTTTAACCAAAATATTGTGATCAGATATTCAGATGTACAACCCAAAATAGCTAACACTCATCAAATCGTTAAATCAATAGATTCATATTGACTCGTTCAAAATCCTGGTTAAATTATCAGACAATACGAGAGAGGTATTATGTATCAATTATTATGCACACTATATACAACATAAATAGTAATTATAAAGGCCTATTCAATCATTTTATTACGATGAATTATTATGTATTACTATAATAATAATTTTACCCATATGAATGATGAAATTATAATATAGTGAATAGGTAACATTTTCGTACATGAACATGATTAGTATCTTGTGTTTGAGATATGTATACAAATATGAAATAATACATGTAAATAATATATGTAGTTATTAAGTGATTTATTTAATATTTGGTTATCGTGTAAAATAGTTTTTTTGCGTGACAACTTTTTTTTCTTCAGTTTTTATGTATATTACAGTCAGAGATTGTTTGTGGGCACTATTCTAAAAAGTTATAAGGTCTTACGACGTCGTTGTGACATCATATTTACGTTATGGTAATATAAAACTCACCAATATTTAAATTGATATATTTTATTCATGCCAATACCTCTTTTTAAATACATAACATAACATTTCTGATATTGCCTTTTGGAGCTAAAATAACCATAGTGCATAATATATAGGTATAAATTATGAGAGCTCCTTGATGCAGGTAGGATGAGGTTTGCGTTATAATTGCAGGGTTAAATCCTATATAGTTTATACTTTATAAGCTATACACATAGATGTATCTCAGTTTAAGTGTATCTTACTTTTAGTGTAGGTACCTCAGCTTATATCAAAAAGCCGTAACTAAAAAAAATTTCTGGGGGGATCCGGACTCCCGACTGCCCCCTCCCACCCAGTTACGGTCTTGGTGGTCTGCCGTCATAATAATAAAAGTATTGTATGCTGTCTACCAAAATATACAAAGTGTATTAAGGTGATTTCACATGAAATAAATAATATTATTAAAATAAAATCAAAATATTAGATACAATGATTTTAATTTTTTGTGATAAAAAAAAAGAATTAATATATGATTTTTATTATTTACGACTTCCTACAACTAGTCGGAGTAATTTACCATACATATGAGTAATGAGTATAGACATATTATAGTACCTAATGGCTAATACCTACATATAGTTAAGTAGCACCTATGTGACCGCATGTTGGGAGATAGCCTTTAAAAAACAATAGTCACAAACTTCAGTCAATGCTATAGATAATACACATTATATATTAATATCTATGTGTAAATGTCGCATCCATTTCGCGTTCTGACCCCTTTAGTGAATGGATAGAAATTTCATCCAATTCAAGAAACGGAACTTCATTTTTTACACAATATGGATAACTTTTCACGAAACGGCCACTGATATTTATAGTAGTACGAAACTTATTAAATACAAGTGTGTCCCGTACGTGGCGAAACAAATAATACGGGTGTAATTTTTTAATAATAGAAACAACTTGTCGTAACCTGCATTCTAGGAAATTTTTAGGTACATTTATATTGAAAATTCAATAACCTTAAGGTTACTTATCTGTAAACAATTGAACTAATATTATTGTATAATAATTTTAAGTAAAATATTTAATATGTTTTTACCTTTAATATTTTTTTCGCAGCGTTTTGTAAGCCTTTTAATCCTTGTGGTGTCGATTCAATGACATTTTTTTTTATTTTTGAAAAAAATTAAAATTAATAGCACTATCAGAGTTGATTTCCATCGTTATTTCATTTGCCACAAAGACTTCACCGTAAAGCGATCATTTTAATCGTGGAATGTGGACTGTCTGAATCTTTGCTATACATCAGTAAATCCTCTCCAGATGATATTTTTTGCAAAATTTCTGATGGTAATAATTTTGAAGTTGTGAAACCTATTTTTGGGTTACTTCTAAATAAGGCTTTATATGGAGATCTACTAATTACTCGATGATAGGAACAACTTTTTTTGAAATTGGACTATAACACAGTCAGGCCACAGAGTTTTGAGCTCTGTAATTAGTGTTGACAAAGTCTCGCCCCTTATCACTTTGCAAGATTTTTGGTGGTCCAAAAGTGAAGAATTTTAAAAGTAAACTTCTAGCTACTTTAATTGCTCTTTTTGATTCTAGAGGTAACAGAGACAAACACTTTGTACTGTGGTCTTGATAATTTAAAATATATCTAAATTTACCATTAGGATTTGGTTGAAAGTCCTCTAGGACCTAGGTCGACTTGCCCCCTTTCATCAATGACTTCAATTATCATGGGTTTGATGACTAATTTACGCCTTACGGTTTACTGGTTTTTTACTGTTGCATGAAAAACAGGTTAATAGGAAAGCTTCTATTGCTGGTCTTAGAATCGAGTATTTATTAATTAAAGCCATGCGAAGCTTCACATTTCCCCCATGTCCTGTTCATGTTTGAAAATCTTTTAATTTATCATACATTTCTTCATATGGCACATAATAAAAACAATTTTTTTTTTAAATTAGTTCCAAAACTAAAAATTGTTAGCTGTACAGTAGGTCACTGTTATGGATGGTATTAAATTTAATTCAACGAAAAACGATTTTGAATGGAGACGCTTTGTCAGCTTAGGATGTTTTATATTATATTTATATTGTTATAAAGAATTAATAATTTGTATGTAATAATATGCTTTAGAAGTTTCAAGTACCTACCTACAAAAAATAACTAAAATCGTTATTCTTGGTTATTTAATATATAATAATTTTGAACAAATTTGAACTTAAAATAACTATAAAAAAAACTGTGCTTATATATTTTTTAGATTTTTTGGTTATATAATAACCTATTTACGTAGATACTTGTTTTAAATTTGCAATCGTTAGCTATAAAAGTTGAACATTTTATACATTTTTAACTATTAAATAATTAATTTAAAATTAGAACTTTAAATGCTTATGAAAATTTCCAATAACGAAAACTTACGGGGAACGTTGTATTATATTTTCAAGTTTTTAACCAAGCAAAAATTATTTTATTAACCTTAATTAAAAAAAAACTAATAATACCGAAAAATTAACATAGGTAAATCATTGTATAACCAATAGCTTCATTGTACCACTCAGAATTCAAAAAACGAAAAGTAAACAACTAACAAATATTAAGCAAAATAACAATTTGACTTGCTTTATTTCCTTATATTTTGTTTTGCAGATTAAAAAATGCTTTTTAGCTATGGAGAGGACATCAAACTTTTCTAAGAGATAGTATTCTTGCCTTGTTTTTTTATTCCTAAATGTGTATAATTGATTTGAATTATAATTTTCATCTTATACTTAAGTGGAAAAATATTATCATTTTGACTTTTTACTAACCTGTTAGTTTTAGTGTGGATTATGTCTTGAATTATGGTTTCAACTTAATTCTATAAAACGGGGTTTTTTAGTTGGTTTATCGGTGTAAAAATGTCAAGCTTTTTAAAACATTCAAACTTTATCATCGAACATTTTAGTTTTAATAATTAAACTAGTTAATTTAATATTCTTTTAGTATTATAATAAATTCTCTTTTATAAGTTTCACGTGTATTGGAACTTAACTGTACACTTCAATAAAACGTTATACAATTTACCAGTGGCGTAGCCAGGAATTTTTTATGGGGGGGGCTAAGTATACAAATACAATGTGTTTTTTATTTACGCTTTTAATTTTTTTATTAATCTTGATAAAATTCTAAGGTCAACATCGGTCAATGGGGGGGGATATAGCCCCCTTAGCCACCCCCCCTGGCTACGCCACTGCAATTTACCGACACCGATCTCTGACAGGTAATTGCTATCGGCTAATTTCTACATTATTGTCGAAAATGCACATTACATCGATTAGGTATCACAAGTTATTACGACAAGTTGCTTCTATTTATAACAATTTTACACGTATAGTGTTTATTTTGGTTCGTCATGATTTGTATGTACAGATTACGCAACAAGTTCCGAACTACTTAATATCCGTATTCCGTGTCCGTTTAGTGTAAAGTCGTCCTTATTGTGTAATTACGCGATGTGTAAAAAATGAAGTTAAGTTTCGTGAACTGGATGAAACTTCTATCCATTTCACGAAATGGGTCAGAACGCGAAATGGATGCGACATAAATATTACAACTCACTGTACATCATAGGAGTACGCAGACCTCTGAGTCAGGTATGGCTAAAGTCAATCTGATCACTCACCAACTTGTCATGGTTACACAAGAAAAAAATTATAGACATTTTCACATTTCATTACAAACTTTTAAGTGACCCTTTTGTTGGTTACTGGACAATTTAAAGAATCATTTTTCATAATTTCACACATACAAAATTCATCAATATTGATTTAAATTTTAATCAAATATAATCTAATAAAACAATTTATTTAAACACGTTCAGAATATAATATATAATATTAAAAATTGTCAATTAACATTAATAGGTATTTATTTATTATTATAAATTATTTATGGTAAATCGATTTTAGGGCTAATAGTTTATGAGATATAAATATTAAAATTTAGATGAGCGGAGTAGTGGACATACATTTCACGGGGTAACCCCGTACCATTCAACTCCGCTCATCTAAACTTTAAAGACTTATAAGTAGTTATAACGCATAGACTGCTCGCCCTAAATTCGATTTTTATGTATTTTATTCTTAGAAAAATATTCTACTTTGGAATATGAAATTAAAACTCTATGTTGTCAAAAAAAAAAAATAAAAAATAAAAAAATTAGAAGGATAAAAAATATTTAAAAATATAATTTTTTAATGACAAAGTTGTTTTGTAAATGACTCGAAACTATGTAAAAAATTACACTTTTTGAAATAATGAGTGTTCAATTTCAAATAAATCGCTCTGTAAAGTCTCTCGGGTAAACACAAACGTTTAAAATCTAGAAGGGCTATACCTACTTTTAGTCATGTCTTCATAAGGTACCAACCCACAAACGTATACAAAATCTCATTTATTGCTAAAGCCCAATCAGCCTATCCGCCCGCACGCCAACGCTGCACATTTTGTCCACACTCGTGCCAAAACATTTATATTAAGCTCGCACTGGTAACTAAAACGTCTTGTGTATTGTATCCACAGTTACCTACTAGCTGATAATAATATAGTATATTTTAATATCATTATAGTATTGTTTAACATCACGTTAATAATATGCGTTAAAATATCTACTAATGTTTGGCGTACCTACAAGTGTGTTTAATATTATATGCTCATTGTTCAGTATTATTCAATAAATAGGTAATAATTGTGTGAAATATATTACGAAATATGCGGATAACTGCAGTTTCAATACAATTTAGGATAATATCGGTGAATTATGGCGTCCGGTAACATAATAATATTGTGTAGTCATGTATATTGAGTACTCACTTTCGTTGCACCTTGTCGTGTTAACTTCCAAGACCCCGACACTGGTTTCGCAGTGATCACTAGGTACCTTTCAATCGCTATGGTGGAAAGAGTGACAATGGACACCAAACCAAACTGTCCCACTCCGAAAGCATATATTGTGCACCCTGAAAAATAACGAGCACGGTCAATATATTTTTATTTCCGATTTCAGATGACGTCACACAATAAAATATACAAACATTATTAAAATACATATCTACTTACCAGTTACCACCCTCCCCTTTCTGTCTCGTAGCGAATATTAAGTATCACAAAACTCACAATGGTAATGTTAAGAAAATTCATTTTTCTTCATTTGCTTTTAGATGAAAAACACCTATTACAAAAAGAGGACATTATTTTTTAATGTCGGGCCGTTTCTATTAAACGATTCACAAATTATAAAATATGTGTACTGAATCTATTATCTTCTACATAACAGTATAGTGAGCTTATGACAATACAAATTAAATGGTCTGACATAAAAAATATAGTCCTCATTACATTTTCGTAATAGGCGATCTTCGTATAAAACCAAACACGAATGATATGTTTTTGGAAATGTGAATGGGAGTCTTGTGATACTATCATAATATAATATAGACAGAAATTCTACACGTTTATCATTTTTGTTTTGTCACAAAGATGAAATAATCAATATTAAAGTATAAATCATTATCAATTATAATTTACTATAAAATAAACATATTATTATTTATTATTATATTTTTTTTTTAATCTGGTTGATAAGGTTTCAACTTCTGATGTCATTAGCCTGTAATAATTACATAGTATTGGTCTTAAAACTATGGGAATACATTATATTTAACAGTAGAAGGAGTTTGTGAAATATATATAAATTAATTTTTTTTTCAGTAATTTTGCTACCTAAGCCTATATTTCTGAAAAAAATTTATATATTTTTGGAGCTCTCTTCGCCAAGTGCTTGTTTCATCGTTGGCCGGTTTTCGAGAATTTGTCTGGAGATGTTGAACTTAGGGCATTCTATTACTATTGCTACCAATGTTAATGTATTCTTTGTTTTAAAATCCGGATTTTCAGATATTATTTAGTACTTATTTTATTTATTTGGAAAATCAAAATCGAATTCTGAAATTCAGTCCAATTTGCTCATACCAAACCACTTATAAAACTACACACTGTACAGTCACTGTCACACTGTATATACTGTGTTGTTGAGTTATTTCTTTCGTTGTCCGTACATATTAAATCACGAGCCTTTAAATATTCAACAACACGATCAATCTAAATTGAATGGGTAGAACGGTAGTTCTAAATGATATCAAAATAAACGTATAAGTAAGTACACTATAATATAAGCAAGTTTCAATGATGTTACCCACGTACGAATCATATACTATGCCTGACTAGTCGTCTAGACATTTATTTGAATAATTTACAGCAAGTATTCGTTTACTTGAATACTTGTAAGGGTACACCAGAATATTTACATAGGTACGTAATCAAGACCCTATAGTTCCGAACCTGAAATTTACATCTATTTTTGAATCTTCGTTACAAAATTGTTTAGTCAATAAATAGATTAGTATGAACAACTTTAGAGTTCTTATTCATTTTGAGTAGGTAAGTACCACATGTTAAGTTAGAGTTTCAATTGATTAATACAAAAATATAAAAAAACTCAAGTAGGCATCTATCTACAATGTATGTAGTGATGTACACAACAGAACAATTATTTATAAGTTCATTATTTAAATTTTTAAATTTCTATTTTTTGCAATTGATTTCCTTAGAATTTATGGAATAAGATCGACAATTCGGAAAAGTCGATCTCAAGCATAGAAATAAAGACAAATTTAATATTATTTTCGTTTTACTACACCAATATGGCCAATTTGTATGATGAAAATGAGTTTTTATATCATGCAAGAAACGTCCAACACACATAAACACATAATCTACCATAGTTCCAAACGCATATATACCAACATCATTATAGGTTAACTTATTAGGTTGTTATAGCTTATACCTACCTATATTTGTCACAATAACACTCCGCGTAATGCGTGCAGAACAACAAAATCCCTATACCAATGAATAGAGTGTGGATATATATATGTATAGTCGTATAGTTATGTACTAAAAACCAGCAAAATATTCACTAAGGATTCATAAATATATAAAGTAATAAAAAGTTCAAATTTGAACAAAAACATGTCTGTATCTACTCGAAAATAACAATAAAAAAAAAAGAATTTTATATTTTATTCATAGACATTATTGTAAATGAATAACGTCAGTGATCTGGAATCGATATTTTCTTATCTTAGAAGAGTTTATTATAATTTGTACCGATAACTAAATAGTAATATCATATTTAAAGATGAAAATGTGGGAAATCCGTGTACCTACCTACCTTATTTCAATATTAATCGCAATATATAAAAGCAAACTTTTAATAATAATTTTCTTTTATCTTGACAAAAATTATTTCCAATTTTTTTTGTAAATGTGTAGAAGTATAACCTTATAGTAATTACCTAAAATTGAACTAAGAGACATAAGATTGTAAAATTAGTCTTTAAAACATCATAATGCACTTAAAATGTTTAATCCTTATACCACGAAACACATTTTGTGCTTACTTAGCATAACATATGATAAATCAGAGTAAAATATAGGTATGCAGTTGCAGAAAAATTTGTGCTCTACGACAATGAATCACTTTTTTCAATCTCCACAAAAAACACTGGTTTACAGTTACAATTCAATTTTTAATCCATGCAAAAAGCTTGATATAAACTAAAACATTCAATTCACTCAACTTCAAGTATTAATACAAATGGAACTAGGTGATTGGTCACAACATTTTACCTTGGAATTATATCTCATGAGCTTTTTAAAAAATTGCCACCCCAAGCTAAGCCGTGAACCATTATGGTACAAAAATAGTGATGCATTTAAATTCATACCAGATACAATGTCGCAACCAATTTCCAGGCAGTGGTAATTTATACTTATCAATTATCAACAAAACATAATCAGTAATATAAAACAAAATGGATTTAAGTTTTATTTAAAAAACACTTGGGAGACCAAAACTATTTTCCACCCTGTTAGAGTTTTTTTTATTTTTCATGAAATAGAGTTCCAAAAAGTTACAAACATTGATGCAATTTTTTAAGAATATCGTCCATATTAGAATTTAAAATATTTAATACCGTTTTATTAGAATTCAAAATATTTGACGTATATTTGAATTTAATAAGAACTACCTCAACTATCTCTTATAGCCGCATATATTAGTGGTATGGTACCCTCCCAGAATCAATTAAATAAATTCAAATATAAATTAATTTTATATTTGAAGTTGTATATATACAAAATAAAATTACCTAGTAATAAATTAATAATAAACTTGAATAATTCTCAAATTCGTAATTTAATAATATTGAAATAAATGTGGGTACGAAAACGGCGAAACACTGATTATATTATTGTAAAATAATTAATAAATAATATCCAATTCAATAAACAAGTTAAAATAATTTTTTAGATCAACAAGTTCTATTGTTATAACGCAATGATGGGATATCATTATTGAAGTAATAATCGTCTAGGTAGTTTAATTTAAAATATTGATGCATAAAATAAAGAAGGTAATAGCTGAAATAATTTTCATTAATTATGTTATAACACAAATTGAAGTAACTATAGATAACTTTTTGCAAGAAAACCTATTTGAAATATAGAAAATACTATTAAATCAATGGAGTAGAAAATTAAATTTTTTTATTCGGACCATTAAATAAATAGAAAATCAGACGTGTCTCGAATGCAAATATGTCGTAATAAACAAACGATACACTATACAATATGAAAATTCCCAAGGGTACGTAAATTATGGATTTGGAAATGTTTAATAGGGACACATCAGAAAACTATAACAAGGTATAAATAACAAGTTTTTAATTGGTTTTAATTGTATTATTTATGTTAAAATGTTTTCTTCGCATTACACAAAGCACATATTTTATGATAAAAACAAGGCGATGTCATAGAAAATGTTTATTTTGATAATTTCTATGTTTTTGTTCTAAAATCATACCAGAGTAATTTATTTTACATATTTTATATTATTATAACCTAATAGTAACCCAACGGTGAGGATTTTTTTGCTGCATGTGTGAATTCTATATGGTTATAATATATTCAATTCCGCAAGTGCTGCATCTATAAATGCACGACCAACACACGAACCCGATCTAAATTATAATAGCTGAGAATTTCTAAATTTAATAAAATCCATAGAAAGTACCATCATATTTTAAAATATGGTAAGTTCAATAAAAAAAGTAGGTAAAGAACTAATTTTGTAGAAAATGTAAACTCATGAAAATCGATTATTGGTGATAATATTAGTTTGTTACTGGGTGAGAAAAGTTTGAAATTATTATCAAGTTTTAATCTCATTTTTTATACGCCATTCAGACACTGTTATAGGTACTGTAAAAATATAATTTTGTTCACTTTTTTTAATAATGTGTTTGGGGCCAACCCAGAAGTCTAACGTTTCTAATTTTTAAAAAGTAAAATTTAGGTTTACATATTTTTTATTGCGCTTACGTAGGTATATGATTGTTAACAAACAAAAATTATGCTGTTCACTATACAATATGATAAAAACTTGGAGAAATAAATAATTCACACTCCTGTTGGCTACCTAGCAATGAGATATTTCTTAACGGGATGCATTTATAATTTATATCGTATATGCTGGATTTTTTTAAGTTCAGAATCATTACAGCTGTAATTAAATTCAGTTGTACAGAATGCGGCAATACAAGTACATAAATATTCAGCGATTCAGAAGAATGAACTCAGTTCGAACAGTCAAACAATATTAACACCGATGCGTGCCTGCTTATTTTTTAAATTAAAAGTTTTTGAGAAAAAACCAGGGAATTTGCTCTGCTGTATAGAAGACAGTATTATGCCAACGACATCGATGACTCATCATCATTGAGATGATCACTATAATATATTATTTCTTATATTTGAATTCAATAATAAATAATTGCATAACAAAAACGATTTTGAGCGGGGACGATGATTCAGCCTCATATTGGTTATTTCTAAAGATATTTTTATATTAATTGATTTTTCTACTAGTAGGTTTAATTAAATTCCCATCAATAAAACCATCAATTTTAGTTATACTAGAATGGTTTAAATTGTTCGAATAAATATTTTTTGAATTACAAAAAATTAATCATAATCATTTAACTGGAAATTTCCCTTTTAAATTTAAATTAAAAAATGTTATTCATTTTTCTTCGTAGTAATTTTCAAATTTTTAAGATTTATAGAGATAATTAAATTGTGAGAACAGCTTACTATGGGGAACTTTGTATTCTATTTTCAATAAACAAATTTAAAAAAAATTAACTACCCACACCAAAAATATCGATTTAATTGATTTAGTATTTTAGTCGAAACATTTTATTCTCAATTGTTCCCATTTTCCCGATTATTTGACACTTCTGAGATTCTTATTTTTGACAACTAAAACGATACCAACTATGTAGTATGTATATTCAATTCAATCCAGAACCCATTCATACAATTTAAATTGACGAATTCTGACTAAAGATGAATTTATTGCTCTGCTCAGAATCTAAAACATCAACGCGCTAATTACATTTACCTATTTCATTAAAAAAAGGATTTTGAGAGGATCTGGGTAACTGAATAAAATGGCTTAGATTTTATTTTACTTAAAAACGAGTAGTTGCTAAAATCAATTAAATAAAAAATCACAGTTATTATTGTGCTAATCTTTATTCAATTTTTAATCAATTAAAGTTTGCTGCTATTGTGACATTTTGTAGGTACTATTTTACAACTACAAAACTGTGTTCCGTTAAAAAAAATATAATATAAAGTTTACATTCTATAATAGGTAACTTCATTAGCTCCGATCAGAATCTAATAATACGGGCTACTTTTATGACAATGAGTAGACTAGCTCTTTGTAATTTATTATTACGATATTAATCCTTAAGTTATCTTTTAGTTATCAAAGTTTAACTTGTAACTTCTTTTGTAATGCCATTTTGGTATTATTTAAATAAGAGAATTTCAAATATGGGCGACAATGAATTTACAATAATGTTTGATGTTCGTTGTTGTAATCTACTTGACTACTTGTTTTCAGACTCTATGGTCACCTCCTCATGCGGGTTTAAATAATGAAAATGACACAATGTAATGTCGTTAATCATTATATTCACGAAATGTGCAGGTTGTATTGTTTGTTGTGTAGAAAAAATTATTTATATTTTCATCATTGGTTCCTGTATTTGAATATATTACCGAATCCAGAAGTGATATAATAGACATACAATATTTTATATAGGTTCTTCCCTATATAATAATGTACTATAAAAGTTGATAGTACAATACTCATCGAGTATTTCGAATTTATAGATAATAATTATATTATAAATAGTATATACCTAAACAGAACTCAAGAGACAGTTTCTATTTATTTTGTGGTAATGTCATAGAACATTAGAAATTTAGAACATACATCGAGAAAATAATATTATACAAAACCCAACCACATTAGATTAAAAGTATCATACATGTTTTATAATTATTTGTTAGGTATCTACCTATATAAATAAAAGTGTACCTATATATTATGTTTAGCTGGAGATGCAATTGTATTTAGATGTGTAAGATATACATTATAGCATAGATAAATACAAATAGTAAATGTATATTACCTATTATCCATAAATAATTTATTTTAAAATGAATATCACACATTTGTCAATTTTTGAAATTTGATATTTTAACTATATATTTTCATTCTTAAGTTTTCATAAATATTTTTAACATAATTTAGTCCAAAAATAAAACAATTATAATATTATAGGTAAACTGTAAACCTATAATTGTTTCGTCATATAGATTTACGAGTACTTATATAAAATAACCGATTGTTCGTATCAAATGTTTGCTCTATAATTTGAATTATTCTTGTAAACACCAAAATGTCAACCAATGATATACTATCAAATAATATTAGTACCATTTAAATTATGAGTTTACACGTGGAACACTTTTTTTTACAACTATTCTCGCTTGAGCTGACAATTTGCGCCTTTGAATGGCGTTACAATGAAAATACTTATAACCAAATTGTTTAGCTATTTAAATTAAGGTAAGGTATAGGGTACCAGGTACCTATAAACACCCAAGTAATACAATATTATGTGTAGGTATCAGGATTTTAAAATATAGTTCTGAAATTAAAGTATACAAAAAAACATTACCACGATGTAAAACATCGTAAATTATAATATATTTTGTTAATTAATGTTATTGTATAAATCTTTATTACACTTTTATATTTTTCACCCGTTATGAAATGCCCATTATAATATTATGTTATATTTTAATGTACGTCACACGATTATGATAAAAGAATTTCTCTGCATTTTCTATAGTACGCACGTATAAATTCTTATACCATCAGCGTAAATTATTTATAGTGGTTTTCGTTAGTTTGATATTGATAAATGATTACCAACTCCTCGACGCGGTAAAATGTCGACTGGTATGTCGGCTGGTATAAAATTATTTAGGTTTATTTCAAGTAGTTCAATAATAATATAATATAGCTACATTCATATTGTGAGTGTTAAGTTTTTGGATAAACATTTGAAGGTTCAAGTACCCAAGCATTCTCAATATTTCTTTAGGACGCAATTATAATATAATAATAAACATACTAAATATTTTAAAACTCATAGCTTGTGTCTTATTATAATTAAATTATAATACAAACATTTTATCTAACATATTTTAAATTAGTACCTACGTGAACGTTGTATTTTGTATATTATGTAAGTAGATAGATACCTACACCAGTGGTGTGATTTCAGGTTCTACTTGACCGAGGAAGGGGGAACTTTGAACTTTATTATCACTAATAATAAATGTTTAACGGTTAGTGCTTTTAACAATATAAGCGATTTTCTACCATGCTTGTTTCATTGAATTGATGTTTATGTGAATGTAGTTATTCGGTATTTCTCGCCCATATTGGAGGCTATATTATAATATTACAATTGAAAATTTGTCTTCGAACTCAATGTAAAAGTATAATACTTAGAAGTTACAAAGTCACAAAAACAGTAAATTACATACTATAATGTACAGAATTATGTTTAAACTACCTACCTATGGTAAGAAAGAAATACTAAATAATACATAATATATTTTTATTTAAAATTTTTATTTTTATGAGGAGGTATATTCAGATGAGTCGATTTCAGAGATCCCCGTGATCAAATAACTCCTCTGCCCCCCTCCCGAATGACGAAACTGAAGTACACATAGTAAATTTAATTATAATTTAATTATAGATTCATATTGTTATCTTTACTTACCGATTTCGTCAAAGATCCATTCATGTTTGAATGAAGACACAGCTGACATGAAATGCAAAATCGAAGTAGCAAAATCGGCAGTGGCCAAGTTTAATACGAATGTCGAAAACGGACCCTTTAATCTCCTAAATCTAAAAATAAAAAACGTTTGGTTTAGTAGGGACATTTATAAAAAAAAATTAAATGGTTGTTGCTTACATATTTTTTTATATTTAAATTAACCACGACTTAACTATACTAAATTGTACTGGAAGGGTTATTGAATAGATATTTTATTTTTAAATATAATGGTTTTACTCAAACTCATGACTCACGAGTGACACTTCTACAATTTCTGAAGTGAAACAATACCTTATAATACCACCTATTGTCTTAAAATTGATTTTAGCTATTGTAATATTTTGAGATTGATATAGTAAAATATATGTATTATATATATTAGTAAATTATAAGTATGGCATTTTACGTTGTAGAGAGATACAAGTAAGTAGTCTTGGTCACATCGTACCGATTGTATTTTTACAGCGAAACTGTCTAAGTTTATAATATATTTTTTAAATTACAGATGATACTTGTTACCTTGTTACCTACAATGTTACCTACATAATTATCGAGCTTTCTTGGTAAATGGTACTATGGCGAAATAATTGCAAGTCACATAAAGTCACACTTTTATAATATTATATAATCGACCGAGAGCTCATAAAAAAAATGTTATTATATGGTATAATAAAGGGTAAATTGTTACTTAAGAACGAAAATTTGTTTTTAAAATTATTATTCAACTAGATGTCTAGATCATAATATGTCTCTTGGTGATTTAAAACTTAAATTCTTGTTCATATTTTAATATGAAAATAGTACTGGTGGATTCACCAAAATTTCTCACTCTTATTTTTTTTCAGTTAATAATGAATATTCAAATTCTAATTTATGGGATTTTTAAATATACTTAAAGACTATATTTTAAGATTCTTTAGATTTTTTTTACTACTTTGAGCGCTATATGGCGATACAAAGTTCTGGTTTTCAATGAGAAACCTATCATTTTACTGTAAAATATTTATTGGATCATTTTTTTTGAAAATGTTGATACCTATATCTAATTTTAAATTAATATAAGTAGTTTTTACGTTATTAAAATGTTTATATTAAGGATAATAGTCCTTAAAAATGATTTTACAAAAAAATAAAATATTAATGGATTATTATACTAAAATGTTCAAATTACCATAACCCCTATAATATTATCTTCCTGATCCATTATGACGGTCCTCATTTAAATTTTGATTTCGATACTTCAAAATGTACTGAAAAAATAATTTGCTAAAATAATTTACTGTAGAAAAAGGGGGTCGTTATTTGTAAAACAGAAGTTTGTATCTCCACAGGATACTCTTTAAGTAATACAAGACATATAAAAAATTCGGAAATTTAGTTTTTGAATATATTTAAGAATTCCAAAAATAAGATTTTGAATATCTGAATTATCGATGAATGAAAAAGAGGTGAGCGTGCTTAGTGAATCACCCAGCATGCTGGATCTTAGAAAATCATTCTAAATTAATATTTATATCAAATATAAATTATTATTTTAACATTAAATAAATAATTAAAACATGTAAAAAAGTATTATAACAAATTTAAAAGATTCTTCACTTTCAACTATAATAATCACCGGCAATTTTATAACATCTATTCGTCATAATGTGTACTCTAGACTCTAGAGAATGAGTTAATTAGTGACATACGTGTTAAAACTTTTTATTATACTATTTAATTAGAGGTAGAGTATTTAACGAATTTTTTGTCATAAAAAAAGTTGTTCGTTGTATTTTTAAATTCCTAGTGTCACGTTATATAATTTTAAAATTCTGAAAAACGAAGTATTTAACTTTGAATTATATCATTATAATATTAAGTGGACATTAAACGGTAACATAATACTTAAAGTGTTATTCATACTTATATAATTATACGTATTGTACAAAACTTAAGGTGACATTACACCTGAATATTATTTTGTCTTCATTTTAAAAATGTACAGGATACAGCATAGTAAATTGGTGATCAGCAGAATCCGTTTTGTACAGTTAATTTCAACTTAAGGGTAAGTGCATATATATTATAATCCCCGTGTTCTATAAATTGTTCCACATGGTTATAACTTATAACTTATAATTTATTTTAAAATTAATAGCATGTCCCCGATAACATTTTTACCTTTAAATTTGATAACAGGCCAAGTGACTACAATATTCAAACTAATAACACAAAATAGAATCACCTGAAGGCAACATTTTCTCAAGTGTAGGCTCGGGAGACATGTGGATTTATTTTCTTAAGTATTTCCATATTTCCATATTTTTAATTCATCGAGCCGTTTCCTTACCATTGACTATTCGTTGTAGTATTCAGCGAGTTATCCACAGGTTACTGTTGCCCACATGTATCGCCAAATATACCAATACAATCAGTAGGTATGTAAATGTTAGCATAAGTATAATCGAAAACCTATTTGGCGTTTTGCGAATGTGGGATATTTAAGGGTACTTACCATAACTATTTCACTACATTTTGAACAATGCATCACATTAGTAATGCAACACTATTAGTACACAAAACGAGAATTGTCATCCTTCTAGTGTTGCAAACACCTATTTTGATCTCACAAGATTTTTAGACCCTGAGAAGCCGGTCCGCCGCAGCGTTATGTTCAACTACAGTCTAAAATTAATTCTATATAACGGTCATCGAGACGTCCCAGCACGAAATAACTGTAAATTATATAATATAGCCAAGATAGGTGTACTTAGGTTCATCGGTGACTGATGTACGTCTCATCTTGACACGTCGCCCAGAGCTCATTATAACCTCGGAAAATGGGCAATGTGTTTCGTCGGAGCGGAAGTGATGAAAAGTGGTATCAAAGATATACCTACATCTACCAACGGATGACTCATTTTTCTGCAAGATGTTGAACACTAGCAAACGGCTCTAGAATATTATAATATTCAACTATGCGGTATCGTTTGGTAACTGTGGTTATATTACACGACACGGTGTAGTGTGAACCCCTCTTGACTCTAGAGGCGGTAGGGCGTGTGCCTGAAGTGAATAGATGTTAACGCAATGGTTTTATTCGGTTAAGGCGGGTTTCCACAATACAACTATGCGTGTACGTGCAAACAAATCCTTTTCCGTGATTGGATGGTATTAGGTTAAGTTACCACACGATTAACCACGATAACCCGTGTTGTTGGACATAGCCGAACATTTTTCGTGGCAACCCGCCTTTATAGCTTGTGGGAAATGATTACACCAAAAAAATTTTACTATCTATTGATAGCCATAGATAATCTGTATTATCTATGTTTATAACATGGCTTAACCATAAACCACTACTTTAACCACAAGAAACCACTGTGGTAACATATATTCTCTTCGGTCACAGTTGCTGTATACCATGCGTATACGATATAGGGATGTCCTATTCATGTATATATTATCTATGAGTATATTACATAATATATGTGTAGATAGTTATAATAATTATTATAATATTATTATATAATTATTATTATTATTATTATTATTTTATCTTCTTAGTGCATGGACCATGGTATAGGTAGGTACTCGCAAGCAAAACTACAATGTCCGTCGGTCGTTTTCTCCGTATTCGCTGAGCCGTCCGATTTTTAACGATTCTCGATCAAACCGTTTTCGTGTCGTCGTCCGAGAATGTGTATAAATAAATTACAATGATAATTATTAAGGTTGTGGAGCGAGACCAAATTCCAGTAGCACGAGTCTTGTACCTATTATTATTTATATAATAAATTAATAAATAACTGATTTTCTCCTTCATCCGGCAGTCAGGGTTGGATAATTAAATTTAACTTATAAACTTTATAAACATTTCTGTTTACTATTGTTATTATTGTAATTTAAATAATTTAATAATCCTTTATTGTATTTTACATTAAAAAAAAAGTAACTCCCATTGGCCACGATGACGAGGGTTGACTTTTCTTCTATATATAAAGAAAAATAAATAACATTGGTACCTATATTTTTGAACCGCATAATTTCCGGTCATCCGTTCTCGATGAATATACGATCCGAGTGCTTCGCGTCAAAGTAAGACGCACATCATGTCACCCATATTATTCACAGGTCACTTGTACGGATAGACAGTTATTTACATTCATACGCTTTTGAGACCGTTATATTGGCATAGCTTAGAAATGATTGTACTTACATAATATTCTAATTTTATTTGCGTGCATACTTCGATAAGTTTGTAAAATCCTAAAGTTGAACATTGGTAAAATAGTTGTGTGACGCACCGTCGACTTTTGGTCGGGTTTGATGCATAAAATATAATTTATGGTGACAAATATTCAAAACATAACCTCAATGTTTTTATGTAGTCACATGATATTATTAATATTAGGTAACTTTAAAAAACCGTTATAATTGTCATTATATTTAACTAAAAGTTATTATACATATGTAATAAAACACCCTGAAGTAGTAATATATTATATACGTTGCACCTAGCTTTAATGTTTACCTTTTAGTTTAACTTAAACTTTGCATTTCAAATTTTAAGCGTAAAAAGAGAGTGAGGGCGTGGTTAAAAAATCTCCACTCTGTATGTACGTACAAAGTATTATTATTGAAACCTTAAAAATGTAGTACATTTTTATAAAGTTCATAGGTACCTGCAATAACATTCATTTGTATAATACGGTACATCGTAAAAATAATTTTATTTATGTACCTACGTGAATAAATATATGAAAATAAATTCAACAAAGTACCTAAAAATAAACTGTTATTTACTAAATTTTAATTTTAATTATGCAATGATATCGAATATATCGATTTCTATCATAACATAGGAAGTATAGGTACCTATACAAATAATTAAATGCTGATAAATTAAATATTATCAATGAAATTGTATGTGCTAACTCGTATGGTAAAAATGTTTGTAATGACAATAAAAGAAATTTGGATTATAGTAAAGATTAAATAATAATTAGGTTTATTATAATTTATAGGTATTACGATTTATAATTGTAAATTGTATACCCATCGGAAGATTACAGACATTTCCTTCCTTCAAAAATTATTAAATCACACAATTACTTGTTCCTCATTTTTAGGACGTATTTCCATCAACATATACTTCAATCCTATTCCCGACATTTTTCTATCTATTATCCAATTAGTTATATAATATGGTCAAATACCTCACTGGGGATATTTCTGAGATTGGAAAACGAGTCTGCATTATACTTTTTCGTTTAATAATAACTAATAAGTAATAATCATTTATGTATTATATCAGTAAATGAAGCCTGTGTATTAATTTTTTAAATGTTTAGTTCTTTGTTTCTTTGTCTTATAATTGAATTATGTAGTGTGATTATTATTTTATAAAATGTTGTTGTATATCACTGTGTTATACTTAACACACCTAAGTTTCTTATAACTGTACATAAGCCAATTATGGTGTATATTTAAGTATTAATAAAATAAAATAAATAAATAAATTATTGTAATACATAATAAATATTATATACTTTTCTTTTTTTGAAAATATATTATATTATTATCTTTAATCATTGTTCATCAGTATCCTTCTTTAGAAATATTCTCTACTACCTTGTATTATACTGAGGTCCTCCTAATATTCAACTCATTCTAATCTTGTTCTCACCATGTTATTATTTCCATTTCCTTAACTAAATCCTCTAGCTTCCAGGCTTCCTTATAATATGATCATTTTTATAAATTGTAAAATTGATGTTGATTGCTATGCCATAATATTTTCACTAATAAAAGTAAAAAAAAAAATTAATATTAATATTTAAAACAAAATAAAAATTAATTTATGTCTAATTTTTTTTTTTTTGGAATTTCCCTAATTTATTCTATATTTTTGTTATTTTATTCATAGGCTTGTACAACTTTTTTAAAACTTTAATTGTTAAATGTTGGCACGTGACTAGAAAAAGTTTCGATTCTCCTGTCATATATAATATTATATAGGTACAATTGTACAATAATATTATACTATTCATTCTTATACATTGTGTATTTGTATTGTGTATGTATATTTTATATGTATCTTTGATTATTGGATTCTTAGGTAAGTGTGTATGAATTAAATTGGTGACCGATCCCAAGTAATACACTTATACTACTTCTAATAAATCATCCAAAATTTATAGTATACATTTTAAACTATTGTTTTAGGGTAGTTAATTGAAATTTCCAAGTATACTTTCCTTAAGTATACTATTTATGTCCAATTTACAATAACAGATTTATTATATGGTACTTTTTCTAACACTTATTTTGTCATATTTACTAGGAAATCGATACACACTAACTAAAAAAAAAAGACATACTATTTTACATTGTGAAAATATTATACTTTTCGTTACATTTTTGTTCTATATAAAAAAAAATAACCCAACATAGGATTTTTTCAAGACATCTTAGCCCGTGGATCCACAACTATGCTTCAAGATCATTACAAAATAAACATATTGTATAATATTGCTAAGTATCGTTGAATGTTCAATGTTAAACGATTTTGGAAAGTTTTTAAATATTATTTCATATAGATAGGCTATACTTAAACTATAAGAAAAAAAATTAAAATAAAACCAGTTAAACCTTACCTGGTAAATACGATGAGAACTAAACCATTTCCAATTAAACCCACAATGCCGATTACTGTGAGCAGCATTCCATATGAAAAAAATATCATTGGACTTGTAAGTTTTTCGTTGCCTTCTTCATCTCCGTAACATTTTTTACTCTATAATACGTTTAAAATGACTTTAAATAAATATGGTTTTATTTCTAAGTTATTTTCTAAGTTATTTCAACATTATTCTATGTTTTATAAATGAGTCATTTTTTTTTTGTTTTTTTTTTTTTTAATACATTTTGTTGGTCAGAAATGAACATTGCGATAATCCCCGATCCCCGTTATATTTGAAACACGTACTTATGATCATCCTGTTTAATGTTTATTGTATAAACATAATATAAGTTAACTAAAATATACTGAGTAACTGTAATAACTGCAATGGTTTCAATGTACATAGGTGCATATATGATTCATAAAAAAATCTTAAATTCTCAATAATTATTATACAAAATTTAATTTTAATTTTTGCTTATTGAATAGAAAATTATGTCAACATATTATATTTAGAAGCTTACTCGTACAATAGGTACAGATTCGATATGAGATACTTAAAACTTATTTGTAATAATACTATATTATGAGTTCAAATTTACTCAGTAAACATTATTTTAAAAATGTACTTAATAAATAATATTCTAAATTTATATATCTACAAAGCAATAATAATAAAAACAAAATAATGTCGATAATGTTTGTAAAACATTTCAAAGCGTGTAAGTTAGACTGTGTAACCCATCGAAATTATTCGAATAATATTTTTAAAATACATCGTTATAAACATCGAAATTAAATATTATATAAACGAAGTTTGATTTCAGCTAGGTACCAATATACCTGTTATGTTTAATTTCATAAATGTTATTCAAATATAAATTGAGATTAATTTTCAGCTTTTGAAAATAAATAAATAAAAATGTTTAACATAGATTGTTATAATTGTTTAATATTATGGTAAGACATGAATAGAAAAAAGTGGACAAATTAATTAAGTGGATTTTGGATGATCCATAAAAAATTATATTAAATAATTATACCTACAACTTTATGCTATGCATATTCTTTTACAACTATACTAATATTTTTGTATTTATACTTTAATATCTTTAAGACCTGTAATATAATATAAATATTTTTTAAATTTTTACTTTAATAAATTGATCCTTGAGAAATAGCATTAAATAATTTTTGTTTAACTTTTTGATATAGATGCAAGTAACAAAGTTTACGTAGATAATAATAAAAGTTTTTAAATCAGTATTATTGAATATTTTACTTTCAACTAAAAATTATTGTCCTGACCAATAAACTTTATAGAATACTTATTATTAATATTTATTGAAAATACACTTTGAAAATTCATTTCTTATACCTTCACAGAACAAAATTAAATATGTTTATACTATTGATTTATGATACTGCGGTCTTATATTTTTTTTATACATAATATTTATCTTTTATTTACTTTTAAATCGTTGGATTTTTTTTCATTACCAAGTAAATTATTTATTTTTTCGTTAAAATAGTATAAAATAAAAACTTTTCAAAAACATAAATATTATTATATGTACCAATGCCCGTATGTGTTGTCAATTTATGTGTCACATAAATAGATTATGTATGCGGACATAAGTATATTATATATATATATATTTTTTTTATTAATAATAATAATTTGTATGAAAAAAATTATTATAACCAGCTTTATGGCCAAATACTTTTTCTTCTTACTTCCTAAATCCTAATATCTCATATAGATCATAATTATTGAAAATTACTATTTTAATTTTAGCAGCTACGTACAATTGTTAATTTTACCAAAACAATAATAAATTACATTACATATATATTTTAAGAAAATTTGAAAATTAAATATTAGTCTATAATCTATACTTTATAATATTATACAGATATATTATAGGTACTCATAGTAGGTATGTATATATTTATCTGGAATCAGTTAGATTATATAAATAAATCTAGACTTTTGAAAATTGTTTGACATCGAGTTCGTTTTAAGGCTTGTTAAATATATTATTTATTAATTTTGAGCTTTATAGTTTATTCAAATTGATATAATTTACAATAGTAATTTGAAACTAACTAAATACGTAGTTATTTCTAGTTTTGGATTTAATACAATCATAACCTCACACCATAACCTTAACAGAATTGCCACAGAAAAGTTCGTATGTCTACATCTATATAATATATATATATGTCTTATATACGTGCTATTGATTTGAAATTGTTAGAATTCTGTTTACGATATCATAATATAATATACTATTAACAACTCAAACTCCAACCACAATATAATGCTCGCTTACTGCTTATCGATATAATAACATGTATTTCATACAAGCAAATTATTACGGGAGGATGTGTACATTTAATAACCCAACGTAGTTACACTACCTATAGGATTACTCAAGCTACTAATTAATATCATCGGATTAAAAAAATATTATGTCGTATGGTTAAAAAAAAACTAAAATGTTTGTATCTACGAGTATTACCCATTTACCCCTACCTATAACAGTCTATTTTTTTTAGAATTCGAAAATTAATTCTACTGATTCTGTTTATAAACTAAGTCTAAACTTATTTGAAATATTGTTTAAAATACCGTGAGAATCAATGTGTATGTTACACGTATCTTCTAAGAATTGACACAGGTGAAATATTATAATGGTACAATTTGAAAACTAAAATAACATTTGGAAAAAAATCAATTGCAGTTAGGTATACCATCCGAGTGAATCATATATTATGAAACTACAGTTTGACATTTCGATAGGGTTAGGTAAAGATGCAATTAAAATAACGATGTTCGTGAAAATCAGTATCACCGGTGTCACCCAAATAGATACTCAAATACTATAAAAAGAATTGTATTTGATTTAATAACATGGATATTAAAAACCTCTAAAAAATGTAATAATTTCTTTAATAATTAGATAATATAGGATATATCGAAAAACATATAATACTATATATATAAGTAGTAACAAAATGACAGTTGTTATTAGCTTTCTGTTTGGTAGAAAACATACTGTCTGGTATATTATCGAATAGTTTTTTGTGACATTTCATATATATTTTATGATGTTCAATATTATGTTTATCATGATTACTATATTTTGAACTTGTGATTATAATGTAATTAGATTGTACCTACATGTTTTATATAATTGTATAAAATACAATTATGTACCTATGTCCTATAGGTTATATTAATATTATTTAACCGAGTAGTAAATAATTGTGTTATATCTGCAGTGATGATAGGGTTTTAAATAAGTATAATATATGATTTGTTATTGTACGCACTTCATTTTTGCACATCGCATTAAAACTGGTTAAGTGGTTCGACATCGATATCGTTTGGTTATTGGTTTTGTCTTGTCGGTAATATTATCGCATTTGGCTTGTTTCCAATTCCTCACTATTCGGGGAATACAAATAAAACAATTATTATTTTTTACGAAAACTAATAAATATAAAATAATCATAATGATGGTGGATATGTTAATAACTTATTTTCCATTAACTATCGTTATATTCAGGTATCTGAAAACTAATGAAAAGATAATACATGTTTTAAGTATCATAATATCATACGTATTATTGTTTTCATAACAAAATATATTACTTCGCCCAGTTTTCCATTTTATTGTTGATTGTCGAAGATTTCCTCCAAATGGATATTTTTTTAAAGCTCACATGATAAACCTATAACAATAACACAATTTTTATTCACGTGTAACTAATATTTATAAGTAAAATAATATATAGAGCATGCCAACATGAATAAAACATACAACTGATGTAATGGTCCATTGATCATAATATTTTTTCCTTAAGAACAGAAAGATACATATTTTTATTTCAACATAATCAATATAAACTACTGTTGAAAAGGTACTGACAAATGTATCGTTTAAATTTTAATAACATAGAATATAATATTATTAGTATTCATTTATTTTAAATATTATTTGAATTATAATGAATTATAAATGAACAATAAATTACATAATTTAATATACATTTTTTTTTTTTTTAAATATTCGTTTACTTTAATTTTATACGCCAAGTAGAGCGAAAAATCGTTATTCGTTTTTTAATAATATGATTTTTATACATCATAGGTAGCTTCTTTTTGTAATGTTTCGTATTTTAATTTATTTATATTAAATATAATCAAAGGATCGCAAGTATTACATGTACGGTGCCTCTGGTACCTACATGGCTACATTTATACTCATGATAATGTAAATTTCGAAATTCCACTACAAAAGTAGACTATTTTTAAAAGGTTGTGCCAAAACGAGAAATACCTTTAAACCATTCAAATAGTTTCACTCGTTGTACATTGGATTATTTTTGTTTAGATTATTCAAAGTTTTTTTTTGTCCCTGAATATTTTAAGTTTAGTTTGAGTGTCGTTATTAAATCATAATATAATATTCCGCTAAGACCATAATAGAATTATGCACAATTTACTGAGGTTTTTATTTTACATTGCTTTGTTCATATAGGTAGTACCTATACCTATTTAAAAATGTATTATCTTTTATATTATGAGCGGAGCTGGAAATGTTTATTGCCATATTGGTTTTTTTTTTGAAAATGTATCTAACTTATATATCTACTAATGGAAGCAAATTATATTAAGTTGGAACTTTTCTAGCGTGAGAATGGGGTGATTTTATAAAAAGCTTCCAGTATTTTAATTATAATAATATCGAGGAAACTAACAAAAACCGGTTAACTAAATTTGTTATTAATTGTAATAACTTGAAAATTTCACTGAATATTAAGATTAGCCCATTTTCAAAATATTTATGCCCGTTTTGAGCTTTTTATCCGTCTGAAATTTTCGTCTTTTAATTTTTTTCTCCGTCTAAAAACTTAAACGTCCAAAACAAAATTTCTCGTATGCTTCTCTTGAAGAAATTGAAAAATATAAAAACTAAGTCATAATTTTTATTGTAGACAGTTGAAACTTTTCACATTTTATATAATTTTCAGAATATTTAGATTCATTTAAATGTATTAGTATTACGAATCTATTCACACTCCGTTTTATAGTATATTTGTATCGACTTATAAGTTATAAGTTTTTAGAAAAAAATAGTTTAACAGTGATAACTAATAAATAAATTATTCTTTTTTTAATATGTAAAAACTGTATAATATATTATTTTATTCTAACGTATTATATTCTCAGCTTATCATTATCTTGTATTCAACATAAACAATGCTGTATTTATAAATATTTATTTGCACCTTAAAGCTTAATAATTTTTGTATATCATTCAATAATAACAGGTATTATTTATTTATATAAAAAAAAATAATTTTATAGTCATTTTTAAAATAGTATGCGTTAAAAATTTTTAAATATACTTGAATTAATACCCATATAATATTTATAGTTTATGTCGTTTGTTTAACAAATGCTCTTTGCAGCTTTACTATTATTCTCTTCACAGTTTATCATGGTTTTTTTTTTTATCCTTTTTTGTAAATTGTCCAGCCATATGCCGGTGGTTGGGTACACCATTGGGTACTGTGATTTTATGGCTGGAATTAGTTCCATGATTCCATGGTTCCATGAGGATATAATATATATAGATAACCTACTTTGCATGATGGATAGTTTATAATTTCATTAGGATGTGCAAGCAACATCTGCAAGTACAGAACTTTGTTGATAATTTAATTACTGCTTGGATGTTGGTGTTGCACGAATAAAAATCTCAATAAAATATTTATAATAAATTATAGATTTCTAGTTAAAAATTGAAAACGATTTCAGTTTGGTGAATGATGCTTTGCATTATAAAATATTTTCATGTCCTATTGTAGGTACCTATATTATACATAGCAGAAAAGACATTTTTTTTTAAAAATAAAATCCAATATTCGCAAAATAGGTTATTTAAATAATAATGTAATGTTGTTTTTTTATATTTTAAACATGTTATCAGGTTAGGTGGTCAATATTTGTATTTAATAAATAGTATTATGTTCATAAAACTATTTGATTATTTTATTATTACATTTTGAAAGCGCGAAATATAGCGTTATTTATTATTAATAAATAATAGTATACTAATATATTACCTATATACCAGATTATACCTGTATACTAAATATTATGGAATCGTATGTAAATTATAAGCTATTTTACTGTGCACTATTGTATATTTTGTTAATTATAAAATTACAACCTGTATTTATATTTAGTCTAAATTTCGATAGCATTAAGTAATAATGTAATAATTTATTTTCTACGTTTAACTAAAGTATATTTAATGACCTTCCTTCAACCCTCTATAAACCGTCCTTTTACAGGCTATTTGTGTAGGTCTTCTGACTTCTACCAAAATTTCCAAAAATATTCAAAACATTTTTTAAAAAAAGACTCCTAGCTAATCTTCTAGTAATTATAGTGTAAATTAAAATATAATAATAATTCTCAATCACCATTTTGGATTCAGGTTCAAGCACTCTACCATTCATCAAATCCATCGTACCGTTGGTTATATTTTCAAGGGAATGGATAAAAAACAATACCGCACATCAGTAGGTAGGTACTCCTCGATGATTCTTGGCTTTTACCCAGTGCGGCTTCTTCAAAAGCTTAGAAAATATGTCTTCCTGTCCTTTACTATCTTATTATAAAGTTCTATATCTAAAAAAAAAACCGAAAACTTTTAGTACACCTAAACAATATGGATATAGCAGGCTGTTATACTCATAACAATGGAAAATATTTTGACAGGTTCTTCATTACTCTATTTAATTTAAAATGTTGTTTATGATAGGTAGGTACTATTATATATTCTCTTTAGTTATTTGGTCACTCAACAATAGTCACTCAACATTACTCCACTTTATCACGTCAATGAGCAGTTATTCTATTTAGCTTTATGCAATGCGATTATTCTTTATTTCCTAACCTAACCCCGTGGTTCTCAACCGGTGTGTCATGACTCATGATTGACCAGTGTGCTACAAAAAACAATATTTTTGGATTTAAATATCGCTTATAATACTATTTGGGGTCGGTGATTTAAGTGTATCATAAAACAGAGGTTAAAAAACATCGCCCTAGTCGCATGGTCGTTAATCTAAGTGCATACTGAATAGCATATATTCCTTCACAATATTGATTTCCAATAATAATAATAATAATAATAATAATAATATGACATGGTTCGCTGCATTGTGTATAAAAAAATGATACCAATACGTTCATAACTTCTCATGCGAACGGTTTAGATCTTATAGTGTTTAATCGCCGTCGCAGAAATGGAGCTATTTCGTATTATATTCTTAACCAGCACAACATAATATGAATTATTATTAATATAGTAAACACATTTTTTTTTTTGGTCCCTCTCTACTGTGATTTTCGTTTATTTATTTTTGTTATATCAACCGTAACCCAATATAATTTATTTCTTTTGGAATTTTTAATTATACCTAAAGAGTAAAGACCATAAATATTAACTTCAAGTAATTTTTTACTTTTTAAGAAGTATCCCGTGGGTTTTTTCAGCTCACGATTTTATTGAAAATGTTAATGTATACAAATCAAAATTTGAACTAGTAATTTTCTAGTTTTTAATGAAGGACAATGGAATAAGTCCATGGTAATAGAGTTAAGAGTTAGAATATGGTCTACGATGATTTGAAAATTGTAATAAACTTAATTATTTGCTTCAATTTTATAATACGTATGTAAAAATGTTGTAAGTAGAATAATTACTAGAATAAATATTACATAATATATTTAATTTTCTATGTAAAACCCTTATTAAGAACTATTATATCCTTAGTAGAGCATAAATCAGAAACTGTTCGTTCGTATTTCAATTTAGATGAACTATATAAAGATCCAATAGCGGTTTTCATTTGAAATATGAAGTTTATACTACCACGGACACTCATTATTTAAAAATATAATGTTTGAATATTATAGCCTATAGGCTATAGGTACTTAAAAAATTTAAATTTAAATAATTAAAATTTGAATATATACATTATCAAAGTAGGGTGAATATGTAAAAAAACAATATAAAATATAAATAGTGGTGAATATTACGTGAACAGTATTACGTATTTATAGTCTTTGGTCGTATAATACTATAATAGGTGCCTTAAAATGTATAACCATACAAATTAATGTCTCAATGGTCTAAACTCCACTTGGCCAGATAGGATGTTATATGCTTGGACTTTTGGACCATTATTAATGGTTTAATATGAGATCCGTTAACCTGACAATCCAAGATAGAATTGTTAACTTCAAAATTATTCAATATTAGTTA